ATTCGTTGATTAATTATTGTATACTATCTTGTACTAAACCTTTAATTCTATTTGTGATGCTGTATGATATTAGACAATATATTAGCCGTATTTGCTTGCAATTATTCGTTGTTAAAAAATTTAGAAGTTTCTAACTGCAACTTGAAATCTTATATAAAATAATTTTGAATTTTTATAATGCATTTTGCTTTAAGCAAGTTTTGAAGAACAATAGTTATATATTTAAAACGGTACATATACAATTGTATATATTGTGTAATATATGTATCTCAAGACTAATGAAGTTAAAACACTATATAAAAATTGTATCAAATTTTTATTTAACTCTTTATAAATACAATTTACTAGTTCGAAGTTAGCTTAGACAAACCTATATTATAAATATGCCAAGATAAGTGTCATTATAATATGTAGGAAGTGATGTAATTAATATAAAACTTATCCTTTTTAGCCTGTTTGGTAATTCCTTTTTGGCAGATACCGTTCAAAGATTGTGAAGATAAAATGTAAAGCAACATCAAGAATGAACCTCTGCAGGTTGAAGGAAAATATTTGGTGCAACAATAAACAGATTGAAAACACATAAAGGAAAACTAGTACGACATTTATAATTGAATTTAGCTTGGGAGAGAGAATACAACTGGTTTAATCTAAAGAGAAGCGTCAACAATTTATTAAGACACACCTCAAGGCAGCGAATTCATGAACTCTCCGGCTACGGTAAGAAAAGAACTAATTCAATTCATTGACAACATTTTCTCTCTGTGAGTGGATCAAATTTTATTAGAGATTTTCTTGGTGGATCATCAAAGAAGAAAAAGGTGCAACACTTATTAAAGATCGACACACGCGCCCTAGCTGGACATTGATGTTGTAAAAAAGCCAACAACAAGAAGGAAAAGAAAGGAAAAGTAAATAAAAATAATAACACAGGTTTATTGGTTGAAGCAGCTAGGGCTTGCACTTTGATCTGATATGCTGAGAAGTTGCTCAAGATATTCAATTCCCAAGTCCTCCAGCACCATCACACTTGGCGTTGTTGCCTCTGATTCTTCTTTTTCTTTACACCTTTTAGCTTTTGATGACAACTTTCTCTGAATGCAGTGCCTCTCCTTGAGTGCAAGTGCGGGTGAAGAGCCATTGCAGCATCTATATTGAATCTCTTGCAAAGATTCTTTAACCCTTTTGACAGAAAAATTGAGTACAGCGTTGTGACCTCTCATGGAGAATGCAGCTTGATCGTAAGCTAAAGCAGCAGCTTCAGCACTATCAAAGGTTCCAAGCCAAACCCTTGTACCGTTTCTTGTTGTGTCTCTGATTTCAGCTGCATATTTTCCCCATGGCCTTTTCCTCACACCTATATATGATATTTTCTTACTCTCAACTTGTTTTGCTTCAGACTTCACCACCAATTGCTTTGGCTCGTTGTGGTTTTCTTCTGTTGGTAGAAATGAATCGTTGGAGAAGTCAACCATGTCGAAGGAATGAGAATCGTGGAGAGGGTGATGAACAACTTTTCTTGATAATGATTGGAACAATATGTCCCAATCTGTATTCTGAAAGAAAGGGGAAATAGTGTTAATTATTAGGGCAGTGCTTTCTGTTGCTGCATCTTCCTCCTTTTTCCAATACTTTATTTACCTCAAAACCTACCACAGCCCACAGGTTTTCATTAAAATATTTGTCAATGATAAAATTTAGATGCAGATTTCTAAATGTTTTTAGTATTTTAAAGAAAAAATTATTTCAATAATTTATTATAACTTTAAATATTGATCTTTTACTAAAAACTTTAATTTTGGCTAAAAACAAAAATTAAATGTAGTTAAAAAATTATTTCTAGCTAGCTTTGGTCTATTTACTAATTAGTTTTTGTGAACTAATTTTTATTGTAATTTTCTTTTGTTGGCTACACCCAAGACTTAATTGACACATTATGAGGACAGCATTATTTTGTATACTATTTGATGTGATATAAGATAAAGTTAAAAAAGTTTATATCAAAAATATAAATATTTAAGTGAGATTTTCAAATAACAGAATTAATGAATAAATTGAGAAAAGTTGCATAAGTGCCAAAAATATCTGCTGTCGTACACAACAGCGACTTAATCGAAACTAACCAATGATAAAGTAAGCTAATGTTTTTTAAAACCATTTTTGGCAACAATTATAGGGCCTTGAAGCATGCATGTTACACACAGGAAAATTATTTTATCATATTCTATTTTTAAGTAAAAATCAGGTGAAAGAAGAGAAAAATACAAAAAAGACAAGATTAATATGCCAAATAATACAAGAAAAATAAAATAAATATTGATAAAAAGGGAATACAGCTCTAAACAAAACACCATGTGCCTACAGCTATGTGCCTTCTTACGTGCCATACAATAAATTATTAATAATTAAAAAACTCCAATTTATGGTGTATATATGATGATCTAATTATACATACAACCTTGAACCATTCAAAGTTAACTGTTTTTGTCGGGGCATTTTCAATTTATATAAATAAAAATGTTTTATAATATTTTTTTTGGGTTTTATGCTAATGAAATATAGGAATTAAGGAGACATAAATTTTTAGTTTTTTTTAATAAGATTATTATAACTATCAAAATTCTCCTTGAAAATATTTAATACGGCTGTATTTATTAGAATTTAAAATTACATATTAAACTAAAACAATTTCCTATTAGTTTATATGATTAAAAAAGAAACAAACATAATTAATAAAAATTTATTTTAAACGAGTGTTGATATTGTTTGTATATTTATATATCAAAATTGTTATATAAATATAATTGATTTATTAAATGTTTGTAACAAACAGAAAATTATATGAAATACAAATTAATTGATATAAAAAAAATTACTATATATTAATAAAAAAAATAAAGAAACTTGTAACGAAAAAAAACATATTTACTAATGTGAAAAAAATTGATAATATATATATAGAGAGAGAGAAAGAAAGACGTATTCCTTATTTCAAGATCTTGATCACATGCAAATTTTCATTTCATAAGTTTACTTTTGAAGTTGATTAAGATAACATTGCTTTGTTTAGAGATAAAACGAGAAAAAAAATAAAGAAAAACATATTTTTCTATATTTTTTATAAAGAAAATGGAAAATAGTTAATTTTATTTATTTATATTTAATTGAAACTAAAAAAATAATCATATTAAATAAAATTTTTATTACTTCACTATAATAATCTGTAAATAAATAGCTGAGTAAATTTATCATTTTAATAACTAACACGATTTTTTCCCTTTCAATCAATGTGATACCAACTAATGGCCAAGATCAGTCGATGAATTCCTCCTCGTATTATATGTGATGCTCCGAAAAGTTCACGGATGAACTTTATTCATTTACTTATTTATAAGTTACTGTGTTTTTTAATTAAATATTATTTTAAAATATAATGATTATATAATTACTTAAAGAAAATACACATTTATATTTATATTTTAATTATTTAAATAAAATGTAATAACTTATATTTATTAATTTCATTAAAATTTAATTCTAATGCATTATTAATATAAAAAAAATTGTGTACAGATAAATAATTAAAATAAAATATAAATAGCAACAATTCTTACTTATACATCGATTCATAAATAATTTTTACACAGTTAATGTATTTAAATAATTTTTAAAATTTTACTGTATGTTTATTTAAATCTATATTTTATAGTAAAGAAATTATTTTAGTCTATGAGGATAATTTAATCATATTTAATTTATTTTTTGGACGCATAATTTTAGCCAAATGTTGGGACTTTGAGTGAAGAATGGGGTCTCAGACCCCTAAGAAAAGAAATATGAAAATGGTTACAACTTTCTCACGTGTGCTAACAAGATTTTTATTGCTATTTAGTCCTCAATGAAAGATTTATTATTGGTGCTTTCGAATAGTAGAATTTCATCCTAGTCCTTAAGAATAATTGCAAATTGTTTTGTTATCATCCTACTCATGATGTTCATCTTTTCCTCGTCATGCACGCCAATAATATAATAACTATGAATTTTTATATTAATATATTTTATGGTAGATATTAATTTAAGCATGTCAAGAACTTGAAACATGAAAAATGTTAGATAAAACCAGAAAAAAAAGGGGGCATGCCTGAAAAGTGAGTAACGAAAACGAAATAACGGAATGATTTGATTACATGTCGAAAAAAGTTAATACAATTCCTTAATGTGGCTTACTTCAATATGATGCTGACCTCTGAAGTGACTGAAATGATAACTAATCGATTCCTTCCACATTTTTTATATTGTTTTTTTTAAATGAAAATATTAACCTTAAGATTAAATTTAAACATTTAATAATATTTATTATATTTTTAGTATAATATCTTTGATAAAAATTTGTTATTTTTTAAATATTTAAAATTCAATTTTCAAATTAAAAATAATTAATATATATAAATGTTGATAAGGTAAGCATGGGATTAATAAAAGCAAGAACCGGTTACCGGTCTTAATTGAATAATAAAGACCATTGACAAGTGCTTTCAGTTGAACTCTCAATTTATTACGTATTCCAATAATAAAATAAATTATAAAAAATACTGTATAAACATCTTTAAGATTTTCGTTGTCTTTTTATTTTTGTTTTAAAACCTTATATACTTCCTTATTTTTTTTATTGATTAATAAACTTTTAAAACTGACAGACAAATAAAAAAAGACTTTCTTTGAAATATGGAAAATAAAAAACAACAAAAGAAATACTAAACTAAGGAAGATACGGTATAATTAAGAAAAACAAGACAAAAAGGATAAGCTTTTTATATTAGTATTTGCAGTCCTATTCATAAGGAGACGTAGACCAAACTAAAAAGTATGAATCATATCTTTCTCAATTCTTCTTACAAACCATACTTAGAAGAAATTCACACTACTAGTTTTGCTATGAGGTCAATATAAATTCAAATGCGATCATATATATACCAAATTAATGTTCAATTCTAATGAAGCTACTTAGGGAAGTCTTTCTCGAAGGCATTTTCATCACAATCAAGAAGATCCTCTAACAATTTGTCATCCAAACACTCCAATTCAATAACATGTTTACCATGATCACTTTTAACCATTGAAGAAGAGGGCATTGATGTTGAAGTGGAAGGTGGCAGTGACGAAGGGGAACTCATAGAAGAGCATGAAGGATACTCATTTGGAAAATTGAGAACGGCTGTAACACCTCTCATTTGAAAAGCAGCACGATCATAAGCTCTTGCAGCCTCCTCCGCCGTGAGGAATGTCCCCAGCCACACTCGGGCACCGTGCCGAGCCGGGTCTCGAATCTCGGCAGCGAACTTCCCCCACGGCCGCCGCCGCACTCCTCTATACCGAGCCTCCTTTGGTGACTCTTGCTTAGTGTCTTTCTTTGATTCCTCTTCCATTTTGTGGTTAGCAATAATACAATTAACCTATGCTCCTATAGCCCATTAATTTATACTTGTTACACACTAAGGACCTAGCTAGTTAGTGAGTGATCACGTGCCAAATTCACCATAGGTTCAATGGATGGAAAATTTATCAACATGCTGAGACCCCATGATGGAGATTGTTTTTGATAGTTCAACGAATTTGGATATACCAGAGAGTTTGGTGATGGCTAAAATTAAGGCCTGCGGAGGGTCACTTCAAGAAGTTTTGTTTGGAATTATTTGTAAATTATGTCTCCATTTTGAATCTTGATTCTCAACCAGATTGAAGATGAGGTCACAAGGATATTAGATAGCATGGTTATGCCACGCCATTCTCTCTAGGCAATACTTAATGGAATGTTGGAAATTTAAAATTAACCATTTATCCTCTTTCGGCCACTTGTTGGAAGATCAATTTTGCTTTATAGTTTTCATTAGCTCACCCTTCTTATGTGTTTTTCTTTTGTTAAATATATTGTTGTGAATTAAAGGGTCGATAGAGACCAGAAATTAAAATAATAACTTTGATTCACCACGTGGGTAAAATATTATTCTAAGGTGAAACATTGAACGCTTCAGTAGCTGTAGCATCATGCCTTACATCATTGGATTTGGGTTGAAACCGGACAAGTGCTGATCGTTTGTTGTATTTGGAGACACCACAAAAGCAAATTAATATGAAGCTTATCTTGCTTTACGCAACCATGCAAGGATAACAAAATGGTCCTCCATTTTAAGAAAATCGTAGCAGAAAAATATGGCTTGTGTTTTTATAATGAAAGATGAGTCCTCATCATTTTATTACAAGAAAATATATTTTTTAATCACTAAAACTTAGTGATGAATATAAATTTATCATTAAATATATAGCATTTATATATAAAATTAAGAGAAAAGTCTATTTACCCTCTTATATGTTTGATTATATACAATTTAAATCTTAGCTTTTGAAAATGTGTAATGTTGCAACATAATATACTTCTATAAATATGCAAAGAAATATACTTTCTTTCATTTTTTAGATAAAAATACTTAAAAAAATATCTATCGTTATAAAGAGGAGAGATTAAGAATTTGAGAGTATTTTTATTCAAGAAATAAAGAAATTAGACGTATGAATATCATACTGTCTTTTTTTTAAACATTTTCAAGAACATTATTTTACTTTGCACATTTTTAAAAGTCAGAGTTTAAATTGCACATGATAAAACATTAAAAAAAAATGGATATGTTTCTAAAATTAAAGTTGATAAATATATGACAATTTAATTAAATAAGTTAAGAAATTTAAAAGATTTCACCAAATAAATATAATAAACAAGTAAATTATTTCATACTTAGGAATTAAATTATTGTTTTATTTTTAAAAGATAAAAATTATTAAATTATAACAAATAAATTCTTATTTTTATTAAATTTATTAATAATACTTTATTGATTTTATCATTATTAAAGGATAGAAATTAAATTATACCGGTGTAAGTTATATTGTCTTATACCATTAATAATTTTATATGAAATATAATTTTTATTAATACAACTATTAAATTATATAACTATATATTGTCTTCATTATTTATGTTAAATTTTTAAATTTTATAAAAAAAATAATTATAACAATACAATCAAATGGTCCTTATTTTTATACAAGTCAAAAGTATATATTATATTAATTTTGATGTATATGAATAAGGTAATAAATAGTTTCAGATTGATTTAAAATTTGATTGAAACTTTTACTTTAAAAGTTAGTTTTAGAATTAAATTATTTAATATAAATTATTAAATTATGTAAAGATAAATATAATTTGTACTGATGTAATTTAATCTCTTTTTATATTAAAAATATTTTTAATTGATCTCCAAAATTCTTAGTAACTTAATAGTAATTTGAGTTACATCGATGAATAGTAATATTTTAAAGTATCATCACCAACTTATCACAGCAAGAACTTTCAACAGTTATTATCTTTTGAAGTCATTTATCTCAGATCAAAATTTCCTATTGAACATAAAGCAACTAAAGATTAGGTGTCCATTTAATTTAACAATAGAATTGATTTTAAACAATTGAATATTTTTAAATGTGTCATAAATTAATTTAAATCACATATATTTATTAATATAATGTGTGTTTTGTCTTAAAAAGTGTGGTATTAATTCTGTAACTCAAACAAATAAGACTATAGCAGAGTATTGATTTTTCCCCTCTTTCATTGCATATGCAAACTTCTGTGTAATTTATAAACTATAACGTGGAGTAATTTATTTATTTTTTGCAGGAAAGAACAAAACCAAAGTATTTACTGAAGAAGATTCCATAGTTAGTTATAATAGATTAAAAAAACCCTTTATGTAACTTCAAGCACTTGAAAATTTGTGGTTTTCTTTAAGTCAACCTTGAAAATTTATAGTTGGGATTAAGGTGACTTGTAGGATAAGAATTGGGCCACATATGCAAAAAAGTGCTTCATTCAGTCCTTGCAATCGAACCTCCCATTCTCTTTCACCTTTTCTCTTTCCATGGCCCACAAGCCTCAAAGGAGCCCAACTATAGGGTGCCTCCATCAATCATGTCATGGGATGTTACCCTAAAAAGTGAAAAAGGAAAATAAGGAAGAAAAAAAAAGGAAAATGATTAGAAAATATAAATCATTTAATGAAAGAAAAGAATAAAAATCTAAAAATTATTTAATAATTACTTTTCAAATAGGGTTTTTAATGTGTATTTATAGGTACATAACATGAAGATATTAAACACATTTTATTAAATATTTTAAATTACTTGAAATTTTATATAAAATAAATTTTATAAAATAATGGAATTTTTTAAATTTTTATTTTATTTTTCTTGCTATTTTATGTGCATTTTGGCTTGTTAAAATGTGAAATCTACATACATAAGAACGTTTCTTTAAAGTAATTAAAGTTATTTAACAAAATGTTAAATATTTCTTAACTAGCGTTTCATTAACTAAACCCAGAGAAATTTATGAGCAAAACATGATTATATGAACAAGTGATGCTGTGTGGTAATGTGTGTGATTCAAGAATAATTATTGTAAAAGCATAGTGCAAGTATAATTAATATGAAAAAACTCAATATGCATTAAAATACTTAAAAAGACAATAAAATCAATGTAACAGTTATTTTTATACTATCTAAATCTTTTAATCAGTTACATGATTAAAAGTTTTGATGTTCAGCCTAAGTCAAAAACTATAACATAGAAAACTCTATTTGGCACCAATAATGTTATACTTATTGCAACTTTAATAGGAAATTTCAAACCATCTTCAGTTGCATCTCTTCTCCCTTTTCACTTTTTTTGCATTTGATATATTAAATATAGTATCTAAACTTATTGTATATTTTTATTTTTTTCATTTTACCCTCAATGTTTTAATAAAATTCTTACTTTATCCCTCATTGATTTTAGGGAAATCTGCAAACTCACCTTTACAATACACAGTTTTCTTCAAGCTGCTGTTGTTTATTTTTTAAAATAATGAACTTTTTATTTTAATTATTACATTATTTATACTATTCATTTTGAAGAAAAAAGTTTCTGAATTTAACTACAAAATATAAACCTATAATTGCTTGTATTTTTGTCTTCAAAATAAAATTAAAATTTATGTGAAAATCATATTAACATTTCCCTCTGTAACCACAAAATTAGAAATTATATATGAAAAAAATTTACAACAACGGATATTAATACAATAATAATTAACTATAATAATAACAACAACAAATAACAATCATGATTATATTGAAGTCTACTCAAATTTTAAATCAATAATTATAATTGTGTAGCTTATGTTTTAAAATATACTCCTCATTTTGTAGAAACATTCATCAAGATATCATATTGATTACCCCAAGATCACCGGTAACAAAATGTTTTCTAACATTTTTTTTTTCTTTTGTCAAGAAAAATGGAAGATAAAAGTTATTATTATATGATTTCTTGGATCATATTAACATTTTTTTTTCTTGACCAAAAAAAAATCATTGAATAATAGTGTTAAAAAAACTATATTGGGAATAAATAAATAAAAATTAATTGTAGTTTAATTATTTTGGGTTTAAAACATCTTTTTATTTGAAGTTGTTGAAAAATATAATCCACTTCCTTGGATTATTTCTTTTAACCCAATTAAGTGGATTATTTCTTATGTGGGAGTTGCTAAAGAGGGTCCATTTCTTGCCAAATACACTCTTTGGGAAGGTTTATGCAAATTTTGTGGCTAAAATTGGTGTTTCTATCTTTAGAAGATGGCTCTTCATCAATCATCTCCCTTAGAGTTGCTTTTGGGAGTTAAAGTTGGTGTCTCTCATGACATTGTAATTTTGTTATGTTTTTTCTTTTCCTTTATTAGGTAAAACAAAAAAAAAAACCCAAAAAACTAAATCCTTCCCAATATCTGCTATAGCATCCTAATTGCCAAAAATATATGTTGTCTCAAAGCAAGCAATCAAAAGTGGTCTTTGGCCCAATAAAAGCGAGTCATCAAAATCAACATTTGATTTGTCCAAACCTTTATAAGAAATTTTGTCCAATTCACCTATTGATGTCGGCCCGTACTCCTGTTTCATAATTACTAATAATCGATAGTCATACAATTCATAATTATTTATATTCTTTCTTTGTACATCATTAAATTAAATTATTTTTTTAATAAATGAATAAAATAAATAGTATGCTTATTTAAAATTTAATAAAATTCAAAATGAGTAAATATTAATATTAATAATAATAATAATAAATATTTTTATTGAAAATAAAGTATAATATAAATTTACAATGTAAATTGAATTACTTAATATAATAAAAAAACTAATCCTTAAAGTTACTTTTGCATAAGAATAATTTCAAAAATGGTTTTGTTTAATAATTAATAATTAATACTTATAATTTACGTATAAAGGATGATATTTTAAAAACAGTTCTGATAATAATCATGCATTTAAGAGGTACTAATTTTTTTTTAAAAAAAGTATGAGAAGCGAGGAATTCAAAATTATTAAACAAGTTATCCATTACCATTCGTAAAGTTACTTTCATACTATTCATTATTTCAGATTTATATTTATATTTAGGCAATTTATGTTTAATATCAACACTAATATAATTTGAGAATCATGGAAATATTGTTCACCGTTTTAGTTATCATGCTTAAATTATCATGGTAATCGTCTAATAAATTGCACATGATATGGAAATAAAATGCTTTAAAATAGGTGAAATTGATGGTACCAAATGGGAAAAACAATGGAAAAGATGGCAATGGTTGGCACCATTAATTACATCAGTGATAATGAAATCATAGCATGCCATTTGCTTTCAACATTTGGGTTAATTTCTTTGTGCCTCAAATGATTTCAGCACTACTTCTGTGTCACCATGTTTTTGAAAATAGTATGCATGGAAGTCTTTGTATTTGAAAGACTTAAAAAGTGGTGGATGGTGTTCATCAGTGAGAGCTTCTGCTGGTTCTATCATACTTTCCTCTGTTGGAGACACGAAAAAGGCAACGGATGTGCGAGCATCGCGTGAATTTGTCACTGCCCTGTGCTCTGCACTTCGTAGCTTTCCATTACTCATTATCTGCAAGCCAATGTCACCCACCATATGTCACTAATTTTGCTGCCAAAACCAGTTATTCAACCTTTGTCTGTATAAATTTAGTTTCTATTTCAAGGTTTATCTCACTATAAAATACAAGTTTAATGAATCATTTTAAAAAGTTTAAGGATAGCTTATAAAAATAGTTTGAGACTCTTGTAAGTATTTTTTTTTAGCTTATTTTAATACAATTGAAACTGAACAAATGAAATCAATTGCTTTTGGTGCATTGAAATGAAATATACCTGTAACTGGTAGCCTATGTTCACCACAAAAGCATGGGGAAGAGGCTCAACAGCGATCCACTTTGCATCCTTGAATACTTGAAGTCCACATACATCATCTTGCATTAATATGGTTATGAGGTTAGGATCTGAGTGCTTAATTATTCCTAATGTCAAACTTGGTTCAGGGCACGCTGGATAATAGTTAATTCCCAATCCCATTGATCCACTAAGATCGTTTTCAAAATATCCACACTTCAGACCAAGCCCTTCACTAATCAAACTCAAGATCCTTGAAGCCAACTTTTTCACTTCAACTGAACATGCCCCAATACACTCCCTGCCAAAAAAATATATACTAACTAGATTATTCGTGTCAAATTTTGTCAAAATTCAAAGTCTACAGGATTGTTGTCAAAGGATTTTTATTTTCATAAACTGCACAAATACTCTCTCTCTCTCTCTCTCTCATTAACAAGTAGTATAAAATAAATATTCATCGATCGATCATTTACACACCATTCATGTACCTGTATCTAGTTGGATTTTCAGGCCACAGGTGCTGCCACTGCTCCAAAGGATGACACGGGTGTCTAAAACTGTCTCGCCATTGATGAACTTTCTCAGTTGCATAATTGGCACTGCTAGTAAGCATCCTGCATTGCTTCGAAGGATCATCTGAACATAATTTTTGCTTTTCCTCAGCCGGCAACTGAAATAACTCCTTTATAACACTCCTTGTTTCATTCATTAGATTCATCGAGATTCCATGATTGATAACCTGCTTCAATCACACTTCAATTTCCATTTAACATATAACCATACATAGCAGGTTCATTAATCTATAAATATTTAACTTATTGTTTGACCTAATAAAAAAATGTTAAGGTTGAGCTCTATACTGATTTTAAACAACTAAAAATATTAATTTTTTTTGTTAAAAAATATAGAAGTGTAATAAATATTTTTTTAAAGTTATTTTTATATGCTTAAAGTTAAAGGGCTAATAATAATAATAAGAAGAAGAAGAAGAAGAAGAAGAAGAAGAAGTAATAGTATGAACCTGAAAGAATCCAAACTCCTCAGAGGCCTTGATAATTTTCTGAATTGTGTTGGTTCTATTGCTCTGTGCTTCATTGAGATCAATGATTGGGATGTTACTGCTGAAGGGAATTTTGATGTTCCCTGGTCTTGATTCTGGTGGGAATATATAATCCTCAGGGATAGATCCATCATTGAACCGGTTTGAAAGAAGTTTTTCCATCACCTTTTTTGTGGCTTGATTCTGCTTCACTAGCTAGACTAGAGCCAAAAATGGACTAGTTTCTTCATGCCAAGGAGAAAGGTATATGCAGTGCATTATGATAATATTCTATCCCTTTTCAATCCAATATTTTAAGGTGCATACTTTACACGCTGATGTCCAATAAATAATAAAAAGAGTGCACCAATGATGTTTAGAGTTAATTATATTATTTAACTAGATTAGTCTCGAGAGTCAATGACAGTATTATAGATTAAAACCAAGGAAATGTGTATTTTTAAGAGCTAATGCGTTAATTTTTATCTTATATATGTATTAAAATGATTGATTTGTTCTTTATTTTACTGAAACTAAATTGAGGGTATCTCCTCTTATGACATTTGCCGGCTCCCCATTATCTAATTATCAATAATTATATTAATTTATGCTTAGAAACTACTATGATAATGTCATTAGTAACGTGTATTTGATCAATATCTTATCCATAAAATTGTCTCTAAGTTATTCTTCAGCCTTCAGTTGAGGCTGGCCGGCCCAACCCATAAGAATTTGGAAAGAAAAAAACAAAATTGCTGGTTGTAAAAGTGAGGAAGGCACGTGTGTCGTATCCTTAAGACTGTATTTGGAAATACAATATAAGAAAATAATTATTTTATTTTTGGATTAAGAAATTTTTATAATATTTATAAAAACAATTAAAAAATAACACATCAAATTTTAAAAAACATTAAAGTGAAAAATATTTTCCTTTCCTTTGAAAAGCTTATCCTCAAACATATCACTGAGAAAATTTTCTCTGAAACGGGAATAAGCTGGGGAAAATAAGAATGAGCCTTGTTATGTGATAGATATAATTAGAAATGTAATAACTAAATTTATTTAAATCGTGAGTTATATTGAACTAATTTGCCACGAGTCAAGTTCAATTTATCTTTTTATAAGGTTAAGTTTGTTAATTGTTATTTGGTTATTACTTACTATTATGTACTATTGGCTATTAAATACTAATGATACATTTATATGAAGTTTCTTTCTTATGATTTTATTACAAAAATATTTTTTTATTTTTTTCATACTTTTTTCTTGTGTAAAAATTAATCTGTGATGAATTAACTTGAATGAGTCAAATTATTTGACAACTCTAAATATCTTATATAATATATGGTGTTTGTTGAATTTTAGATTGAGTTTTGCATTTAAAATTTCTATCTTTTTGAAAGTGGAATGTTGGTGCTCGGGTGAGTCGTGATTTCTATTAAACTATCTTTGCATTTATAAGAAAAATAAAATATAATTTTGTGACATTATTGCTTTAAAAAGATATTGTCACCTCATCAAAAGAGGAGTACTCGTGTATTACCTTCATATTGATCATCTTATTATTTTATAAATAAAATATTACATAAAAAATATAAATACTATTTTTAAAAGTATAAATTATTTAACATTTTTATTTGATAAATAAGAAGATTTATTAGAGAATATTATAAGAAGATTGACATGATTTTAAAAAAGTCATCGTGGAAGTCATGTTGCTCCTTATATTGTTAAAAAATATTAAGTAGTGAAAAATTGTTGATCATTTAATACTTTTTTTAATGTTATATTAAACATAAATAACTTACAATACAAAAAATAATTGTTAGTTACATATGAGATACCCAGCATGTACCTTTTTTTCTTTTCAAATTTGTATGTTATTTGATGTTAATGTAATCAAATTGATGTGACCACAAGTTCCATGGTAATAGTAAGGTGGTAGGGACATCAAAGATACAGATCAGATGTGAGCTGACTAGTGAGGATTGTGTGGGAGGCAAAGTTCAGATAGGAGAAAAGAGAAAATTTCAAGAGTAAGTAACACTTTGAAAAGATTAAAACATGCTACAACTACAATATTCCAAACTCCTCATTGTACACCTTCCCATTAAGTCAAATATTGACCCCTTGTGTTTCTCTTCAAGTCACAACTTGTCTCTTTTCCTTGTAATCACCACATGTCCCAACAAGGTTGTTACATTGGACTAATCCATTTCATTTCTAACTTTTTTACTTTCCTCAATTCTTTCTTAACTAATAATATAATATTATCTTATTAATTTAATGTGTTTTTTTTCTTCTTAAACCATAGACAATTTTTATAGAAGACTATTTTATTCAAGTTGAAAATAACTACACCACAATGATACCTCTCATGGTGGGTAATATTTTTCATACTCAGTTTGAATTTAAAACCTTACTTAAAAAGAAATTATGAATATACCACTTAAATCAACAACTCCTTGGTATTATTTTAGTTTGCTAGCATGACTCCTTTTTATGTCCAAGACAAGATGATTTTTTATTCACTGAGATAATCTCATTAGTCAAATCTATTTATTCCTTGCACCTAACCTTTTTAACATTGAAGACATTCCATATCTCCCATTCACATCTTTGCCTATGGCACAGAACAAGAACCACTCCTACAAGCTCGGTTATCAAGCTTTCCCACCCATCAAAACCAAAGCTATTACACTCCATCACCCACCACAGACTGCTTCCTCAGACTATGCTTTTCCCATATTTGTCATTGTTGTGCTAAGCATTTTGGCCACAGTTTTGTTGCTCCTCAGCTACTTCACTTTTTTGACAAAATATTGGCATCAAGTTAATCCAATTAGATGGATTTCAATCCTGCGAGCTAGACAGAATGAGGATCCCTTCATAGCATTTTCTCCTGCAATGTGGAACCGGGGTCTTGATGAGTCCGTCATCAGAGAAATCCCAACATTTCAGTTCATGAAAGGAGAACGTGAGGACCAAAGTGTGTATGGTTGTGTGGTTTGTTTGACTGAGTTTAAGGAACAGGATGTGCTAAAAGTTCTTCCCAGTTGCAACCATGCCTTTCATTTGGATTGCATTGATATTTGGCTTCAGACCAATTCCAATTGCCCTCTTTGTAGATCAAGCATTTCAGGCAACACACACTGTCCAATTGACCACATTATAGCTCCAAGTTCTTCTCCTCAGGATTCTCAGTTGCTCTCTAACATGGGTAGTGATGAAGATTTTGTGGTCATTGAACTGGGGGGAGAACCTGGGGGAGTGATGCCACAGGTGCAACAAGAGAGATATGACTCAAGGGGAAGCATAGGACATGGTAGAATTCACCCTACAAGGAAGGTGGAGCAGCAGAAGCTTGGTCTTGGACACTTGAAACCAAGGAAGTGCCACCGTGTTTCAATCATGGGAGATGAGTGTATTGATATCAGAAAGAAAGATGATCAGTTTTCTATTCAGCCCATTAGAAGATCTTTCTCAATGGATTCTGCACATGATAGACAAGCTTACTTAGATGTTCAAGCCATTATGCAACAAAACAGGCATCAGAATGAGGCTAGTGCTAGTGAGGATTGTAATAGCAGAGGTCGAAGAGCATTCTTTCCATTTTGTTATGGAAAGGGATCAAAAAATGCAGTCCTTCCTTTGGAAAATGATGTTTAATGTGAGATGATTTCCCTCTTTTCTTTTTTCAATCTCTTTTGTTTTCTTAATATGCAGTCATCAAAATGGAGATCTTCAAATTTGGGTACGCTCAATTATCCAAATGAATTAAAGATCGTTGAATCTTAGTGGTGATAAATGAGAGGGGAAAATGCAGACTGTAGAGTGACTCTTGTAATGATAGTGACTTTGTGAGTCTGACACTGGAATTATTGTGAGGGAAAAAAAAAAAAAAAAAACGAAAAAAAAGCTTTGCTTTAGACTTTAGTACCTCGCTTAAATTACAAGGTGTGAATCTTTTCCTTTAGTTTCGTTTTTACTCACAAATCAATGTAAATGATTGTTAGCAGAGTATCACTTTCACACATTCTTTTTTACTGGGTACTAGCACTTGAGAAGCTGTCAAACATTTTGATTCCGGGTCCTCATTCTTTTCACATGCTATGATGCTCATGATTCCTCTTCCTTTATTTCATTTGAGGGTACTGTATTTGGGTCCGGGGAATGTGAAGGTAAAGGGGTGGGGGTTAGAATGTAGAGACAAAACAACAAGGTGTGATTAGATTGGTAGAAGCTATTTATTGGACGCCAGAGAAGAGGGACCCAAGCAATGAGAAACCATAAGTAGCAGCATGAGAAATGTCTCTTTTGAATATTATCACTAGTTCCTTTTTGCCTCACTGCAATCATATGGATATTGGGCAACTAGATAATACAGCATTAAATTTGGCTTCATTTTGACACTATGGTTGGTATTCTACCTCCGTCCGTGTCTTTCTCAAGTCTCAACTACTTCATCCTTATAGCTATGCATTGCTAGACCTTTTCAAATTACCTTTTAATCTAGCATTCCATTTGTTTTCTTTCTATACCCCAGTTCCGCTTCTTTTTAGTTGTCTCTTTTGAAGAAATTTTTTGTTTTCATTTATCTGTCACTATAAAAATTTAAAATAACATTAATTGCTATTTTTTCAATTATACTCTTGTCAAGAGAGAATAATGTATTAAATATCTAAGTAATTAACGAAAGATAAAAATACAAATAATTTTAATATAAAGAAAAAGATTAATTCGTTTTCTTAATTTGTGCATTAGTCTTAATCGACAAATTAAAAAAATGGAAAGAGTACTTGTTACTTTTATTTACTTAACCAATAGCTTAAAGACACTTGTCTTTAAATTAATCTAATAGTCCACAGTAATTGTTTCACTCCACTGACAGTTCTGACACTATTTGAAACGTTAGAGGCACAGAAGAAATAGGAGTCAATATTAAGCAACAAAGTACGCAATTAATCTTCTCACTCTCAACAGCCTGAACCAATTACACTTCAGTACCTGTAGAAACTTACTTTATTGGCTTTACAAAATCTATTGTAGCCACAAAAGAACAAATTTTAAGAGCATTATACCAAACTTTAACTTCGCACTTGCCATCTTCAAAGGTTAACAATCATAAATCAATTTCAAATGCTATCTTCAAAGGCTAATCCATTTCAGTTCACAAATTGCAAGGTGAAGATAAGCAACTCTAATAATGTAAAATTGAAGAATTTCCACCATCGCATAAGTGGGGGTTGCTTGCAACAAGGTTAGAAAACAAATAGGGAAAGTATTACACTATCTGAAGAGGAAATTCGAAATTATTGAATTACGACAAACCACTGAGTTCTGATTTAGAAATTAAAGGAAAAATGAAATCTGAATAATACAATGACAAACCCAAAATATATGATTGCGGTTTAACTACAACTTATTTTCAGTATTACCTACATAAATATGTAAGGAAACCACAAAATTGGTGACCAATTACCAATATCATAGATATTCATTAGAGTTTGCAACAACAGGGTAAGTATGCTAAACTGTTCGGGATTGCCGTAATGGCATGTCATGCTGGGAGCTTCTGGATGCCGCATGTGTATGTGGCAAGGGTAAAGCCTTCATAGGAAGCTCATTCGCAGAGGCACCACGAGCTTTTTGCTTTAATTGTTCGAGAAGTCGGTGGGCTTCTCTAAGTTCATCTTCTGCACTTGCTCCATGGCTTTCCCAAGCATCGATAACTTGCTGTTGAAACTCAATTGCAAGGACATAACTGCAATTCCAAGATTCATTTTTTCAGAAAGACATAAACTTATCCCTTTGGCCAGATGTGTATCAGTCAACAATGCCAGGACAAATAATTTAAACAGGTAGAGAATCTAGAGATAGTTTCAGATACTGCCCAGAGAGACAGCAGAGAAGCATAAGGGACATAAACATGCATGCCCTCCTTCATTAACCTAATAAGAGAGTATTGCTACATTTAATTCCTCTGTTATGGGAGGCAGAACAGCCAAGAGAATTCGGTAAACTTTATTGTGATTCAAAATAAATATTATACAATCACTACAATTTATGTTAAGCAGAAGTGGGCAAATATGTCTATATGATAGAACAAAAAAGCAAACAATTTTAAGTATCTTGGATAACTATGAGTCTAAGACAACTAAACCAAATTGTTTGGGTTTAAATATAACAAATCAAGAAACCAACTCAATCAATCAACAAAGAAAATTTAAACATAGAAGGTAGCTTACAAAAATAAATTGACAACTTTTTATTTACATAACATTTTCATGTTTACGTACAGAAATATGGAATAAGTATAACAAAGGTTCTCTCTCCTACATGAACTTGAGATATGTACCTACATCTCAAGTTCATCAAACAGCAATGACTGCATCAGATAGAATAAAATTCCAACATATTTTCCAAGGACAGATCAGTACATAACAACTTTACAAAAGAAGTTTTTGAAGATTGCAAAAATAAAAAAACATCTGCAATGAGCTCAAAACGGACCAAACTCAATCATGAAATAAATTAGTCATAAAAAATTCTAAAAAAGAAGCAAAACTTTGATGGCTGTCTACATTTGCAGCATTTCTTGACATAATTTCTTATACTCAAGATCTATCCTCAAGTATTTCTGTCTACATAGAACTCTGTGTAGTGGTACCACCAAATCAGAAATCCTATGGTACACGAGAGGATAGTGATTTACATTCTAACTCATTTTTGGGAGGCAATAAAGTATAAAATTTAGTTTGAGTAATGGTTATGAGATGATGACACACTAAGTAAAAGGACTAGGAGCCTTGCATAATTAATTTTTTTGAATCAGTCAATAAACATTAATGAGAAAACACATGAAGACATATTAATCATCATACACCTTTACTCTGTAATAAATTCTTAAAGTTGACTGCACGAGAATTCAGCCATCTGAATTTCACAGCAATGTAGTTCACATGGAATCTGGATGTCACACTAATGGATATATGTTAAAAAAGTTATGTGTTTAGACCACTATTTGTACATAGGGTGAAGTAAATCATATATTAAAGATATGCAAAACAATATCCAGATATGAAGTCAAACCAATAAACAATCCATACCTTCCCATCTCACCATAAGCCTTTGAAAGGTTCTGACATGCTTCAATAGTATCCACATGATGTGGACCAAGGGACACATCCATGATATCCTTTGCTACTGCAAACATCTGCGCTGCTGACTGGGGTCTATCCAACTCTAAATATGCTGCCCCCAAATTGTTGTAGATATAACCCACCCCAAAATGCTTGGGACCAAAGCTATCTTTCAATCTTTCAGCAGCACTTTCCAAATAAGGAATGGCCTGCTGAACCTTACCCGTCAACAATAGTAACCAACCTATTCTTGCAGAGACACTTCCCTCTGAGTGCTGCTCTTGTGGGAGCTTCTCGAGCAAAGCTAGCGTCCTCTTCAACAACGAAATTGCAGTTTCAAACTCATTCATGGTTTCATATTGCATCGATATCTCTGAGTATGCCTCAGCAACTTCCACAGGGGATATCTGTTCTCTCTTGTCAAGAATCCCAAGAGAAATCTCTAAACACCTTTTGCACTCTGCAAACTTCTCCTGATAGCATAATGCCTTGGCCATCGATATGAGCACAAGTGCTCGAGTCTCACTGTCCTTTTCTGTCTGCAGCACAACATTCTTCAAAGTACCAACAGCCTCATCATATCTTCCCAAAGCAATCATCATATTCGCAGCATCAATTTCAGTCCGCAACAAATCCGAATTAAGATTCCAATTCTTCAAAATCCTCTGCGCCAAAACATTCTGCTCGAGGGCCTTCTCATGTTCCTCCAACCCACTGTACACAATCCCAAGAAGCTTCCTATCATGAGCAACCTCCACAGAATTCTGCCCCAACTGTTTCACATGTATCTCCAATGCCTTCAAACAATACGGCAGTGCCTCCTTAAAGTTCAAAACCGCAACATAAGCTTCGGCCAAGTCACGATTTGCTTTACCCAATTCTTCACTCCCTTCCTCAAAAGTCATCTCTTTGATCTCCAAACACTTCTTAAGATTCTCAAGCGCCTCTTCCCTCCGCCCCATGGCGGTCTTAACATTCGCCAACTCAAGCTGCACAGCATGAAGCACAGGCCTAACATCATCAACACTAACACCCTCACCCTGCAACCTACCCAAAATCCTATTAGCCCTATTAAGGTACCCTAAACTATCACTAAACCTTTTCAAGCTATAATTAACAGACCCCAACAACTGCAAAGTCATGGCAACAGGCAAAGAAAGGTTGTTATCTTTATCCAAGGCTTTCAAAGCTCTGTTAGCGAAGGAAAGAGCTTTTTCAGGGTCCTCACCTTCGTGATCAAGTTTGAGGCCAATTTTCAAAGAAGCCAAACCAAGCTCTCTCTCATCAAAAACCTCTTCCATGGCACTGAATGCTTTGAGCATTTCCTCAGTGGTTTCTGAAGACTCAAAAGCTTCTTCAAGTTGAGATTTTTCCTTGATTTTGCGATGTCTAGAGGGGATTGGAGTGGGTTTATGGACGAGGGTGTCCATGTTTCGAAATGGGGCGCCCACAAACTTGTTGGGTCGGGTAAGTAATGCGTGGGTTTTGATGCAGCGGTTAAAGGGTGCATCGGAACTGTACGATTTGGAAGAGAAAGAACTTGATCTGCGACGAGCGAGGAGAAGGATCGAATTACATAATTTTCTCATGTTGAATTGAGGAGCTTTCGTTTGCGTTCTGTTCTGTGTTAAACCTTCGCAAAACCCTCCATGGAGCAGAGACAGAGAGAGAATGTAAAGCAGGGGGTACGGAAACGCTGTCGTTTCACCAGTGTTACTGAGTTATATTTTTCTTAAAATTTTATTTCCTATTTCGAACTTTTTCTTAATAGATTAAAAAATGACCATGTGGATCATTTGGCCTTTCCTTTGTCTTAAGTAGTTATATAAACAAATCAAATAAAAATTAGCCTCAAGGACATTTACATTAAATAAATAAAATATATCTATGTTAAAATTTTGAAAAATAAAAAAATAACATCAATTATCTTACTTGACTCGATTTAAAAATTGAAATAGTCAAATACTGCATAAAATCTCGGTCATTATAGGATGAAAGAGAAATTGGATTAATATCAACGTAAACCTACCTGCATATATGATTTCTCTAAAATAAACTTTAGAACATAAAATATTATATTATAATCGTTAAATTTTAATAAATCAATACTTAATTACATATTTTTTTTATTGTTATTTTTTAGATAATAATTCAATATTTTACCTATTCATTTATCTCCTGACATACACTGCCCAATTCTAAATACAATGTAGTTAATCCCATCCCATGACATTGTAAACATTTTATACCTTTTTCTTATTCTTATCCTTTAAAAATTATGATTTTATTAGTATAAATAATAAAATTGCAATTGCACGATTAAAAAGTTATGAATCATGAGAAGAATTACTGTACTATTCAAGTAAAATTTATTTTTAACTCAAGAAACTTAACATAAAAACAAAAATATAGAAATCTCAGCTGCCTTAGGATTTCAATGTGAGTTTGCAAATTGAAATCCCAAAAAATTGACAGTAAAAAAGCTAAAGGGTTCCCAAAGTTTTCTGCGAGAAGGTAACTTCTCCCGGTTCTCATAAAGGTACTAAACTGAACAGAGAACATGCACAAGGTGTCCAGAAAATGGGGAATGGATTAGAACGCTGAATAAAATGAATTATTGGAAAAAGATTTAAAAAAAAGGTTCTTAAAAGTTGAAGGTTGGCCCAGAACCACCACCCTTTTAGCCTATCCGGGTCCTTCTAAAAACAAGCTGAGGCTCATAACAATCTAACCTCATGTCAATGAATCTATATACAGCAAAGAATAGTTTCCACTTTCCACACAAGTAATATAGACAGGACAATCATGAGTTGGAAACTCCTGCATTCATGAAGCAAGAACCACCCAAATAAATAATGGAGGACAAAGCCATCATTTCAAAAGCTAGAAGTTCTAGGATTTATAGTGGGAATTTCTGGAGGTCTGCTATAAATATCATCAAAAAGAAGATTGAATCCTCCTGCTTCTAAATCATCCGTGTGTGCTGTACTAGACAATTTGTTAGAATCTCTCCAGTGCAAGTGTTGTTCCTGATCTTGATCCTCAGATCCTCTATCAGAAAATTTATCATAGTAATTGTATGATCTTTGGTGATTGAAATCTGGTGGCTCAAAAAAGCTTGTCTGACCGTGTCCACTTGGCGCGTGACTTCTAGCCCACCAATGACTCCTGTTAGTGCGTGGCAGATCATTGGAAATTTGATCTTGAATTAGGATTTCCCTGAAGATGGGAGCTGATGTGGAAGCCTCAAGATGGGAAGTGGCCCGTTCATCACAATACTGTTCTTCATACACATGTTCATTTTGTTGCAAGTTCCAATTGGGGGGGTGATGCTCATGTACTTCAAATGATTCAAATGGATCTGTTGGAGCATCTCTTGAAGTCGTTGCGTTATGAGGTTGGGAAGTATAGTAGCAATCAAGAAGGTAGGGATGATTGTTTTGATTGTTGGATTCAATTAGCCACAATGAACCCAAGTGATTGCCAGGAACAAAAGAACTATATGGCATGTCCCTGGATATAAACCTGTTTCTCTCTCCATTGCTTCCCATGTTGGGACTACCTCTCCACAGTCTGAGGGGGGAAAATTCATGTCTGTTTGCATGTCCTGCTAACTTTTGCTCTCTGAATGTTCTCAAATTCAGTAAAAATTGCTTCCCCTGAGCATTTGGTTCCCATGAAGGGTAACTGCTCTGAAAGCTGCAATGACAGTAGAAGTTAAACAAAACAAATAATCATAGTTGTCTTGGAAGCTTTATTGGTATACACCAAAATCCAACCACAGGGCAAAAACATCGTTTTACTTTTATTCCAAATGATATGACATGAAACTTTCTTACTTTCTTTCTCCTGCTTTTGCTTTTTAACATTATGATCGTTGACTTTTTAGTTCTTGCACAATCTCACTATACACAGCATATCTATAAGTAAAGACCTGAGAGGTTCAAAAACCTCAATGAAAATAAATTGTTATAGAACTCTGTCGGATTGGTCTAATGACTATGATGAGCTCTGTCATGAAGACTCATGAATATAGAACATACCTCAAAAATGATTTCTCCAACTTCCCCTGGGAACTTCTCTGGTTGCGAGGAGCATTAAATGGGGAGCCATAATTACTGTTTCCATGATCTTGAAAATTAAAGACGCTGAAACTGTGATAATATCATACAATAACACATTATTAATATGGCCTACTTGCCATTAACAAATTAATATAAGAAGCCTAAAGAATTGCTAAGGGATTATAGGTAAAGAATGAATGTATGCCAACCTGCAAACATGACCAACACCTTCAACATCCACAGTAAAATCTGAGATAAACTGCAAGATATCATCAACCCTCTACAAAATGAAAATAAAACATACTTAATACATTACATTAGATGATGTATAAATAAAGTTATAATCCCAAGTTCTGCTGTCAAAAGTAGAGGAGATTATGCCAAAATACAGCAATGACCTTAGGGACAACCCACAGAAGTAAGTATGGTGTAAGGAAAATCGAGGCCATCTCCTCAAGTAACATCATCCCGGTATACTGCACCACCAAAAATAAAATAAATTACCATAAGTAGTAGTAATCAAGCCAATTGTACAATGGAACAACAAAGGACATATAAGGGTGGGTCTAGTTGAATAAACGTGTTAAACCAACAGCTGAGAGAGTACCTGGAACAAGGTTTCAAACTCAATTCGGACCATTTCAGTACTTTCTTTGCCCCGCCATCTCTTTGGCATATAATGTGTATGCTGAACTACCATTGACATTGCTCCTTCAGGGTCTAATACCAGAAGCTCATTTGTAATTGCAGCCCGGCTAATAGCAGTTATAGTTCCAAAAACAGCAGCATACCACAGCAAGTTGCGACCAAATATCTGCATTGGTTTTTTGTTTTATAAAAAAGAAAGGAAGAAAAACTATTAATGACTTCCATGACATAATTGTATAACATTATTTTGCAAAAGAATGGAAAAATCATTACATGACCCTCAAGCAGAGACTCCTCTAGAAAAGCAATGATGATCAGAATTGCAGCAAAGCCACCCGATACAAATGAAATGAATTTTGCAATGATAGATATGATAGGTGAAGGAAATTGCTTGAGATAGTCAGAAGCATGTAATACACTGCTATTAATCCGATGTTTGAACAGATGATCCACCTATAACACAAGTAAAATAATTTTGTTAAAGAAACTGAACCTTCATTTCATCCATTAATGTTTATCGAAGAAGTGAAGGCCAATTTCAGAACCAAAGTGCTTTTGAGTATGAAGATGCATTCATATTGCATGATTCTTAAACTTGATAGGCTGTTAATTATTTAATAATATTTTGTTTTCCCTCCATTCACACAAATGCGTCCTGATTGGTTATTTTTGAATTCGTAAAATTTTTTGTACAGAAAGGCTTCATACTATTTAGCAACGCTCATTTCAGAATATATGCAAGGAAAAGAGGGCTGATAACAATGGGTGATATTTCATAACTTTCCAACAATGTTTATTCTGATGGCCAAAAGGCAAAGCCAACATATTCATTAATAATTGTCCACAACTTTAAATAATTCTTGTATCTTTTTAGATACTAACATAAAACCCATGCAAATAAATGAGCTGAAACAAAGGACCAAAAAAATAACATATATACCTCGTTGAATTCCCTAAAGACCCATCTTGACAAATTTGACCATCTTCGAGATGATGCGGTGCTTGGGTGGTTATAAAATTGTTCAGCATGCCTCAGAAAAAGATATACCAGCATGAATATGACAAGAAATGGAGAAAGTAAAAGCATCACAATCCCAACTACCATAAGTCTTTTCTTTAATGTCTTTGGATTTGACACAAAATCCCGTCTGACACAAAAGTTTCTGCAAAGAAAATACGTTCAAAGTAGAAAATCATTACTAGAAACAGAATAGTATGATTAACATTAGTCTTAAACATGTTTTTGGTTCCTGAAATATGTTGTTTTTTAAAAATTAATTCCTGTTTAAATTTAATTTATTTTTACTCAAAAATTACAAAAATCATGTATTTGTGGTTCATGGAGAGGGACTAAAAATGCTCTGTTTTTGTTAAATATAGGAACTAAAACCAAAAGACTTGCATTTTCAAAGTCCAAAAAGGCAAAACAAACTTAAGCCTTACCATTATCATATTACTTAACCAAATCATCATATAAGCCTACATGTATTCGCATGAAATACTAATACAAGATAAAAAGAAGAACCAAATAAAAGTCCAAAATTTACCCTCCTATTGCATAACACTCTCCCTGACTTCCTAAATGGATGCATAAGCCATCATAGCATTCTTCGTCTCTTTTGCATCCCGTAGCATTTTAGGGAATGAGAATATGGTTCAACTGTTTTTGAACTAGTTGAGTCTCAATAGTCTACAGAAGTGACATTCAATAAAAATGCAAACATGATAGCGTCTATTTCACTCTATTTGGATGCCATAGAAATAGGGAGGCAGAAAGTTACTTTCTATGTTTGTTTGGAGGGAAGAGTGGGAAGAAATTTTATTTTAATGAATTTTTTCCATAAAAAGATCAAGTGCTTACATTGTAAAATAATCTTTTAACATATATATTTTTTTACAAGCTTATTATTATTATTATTAAACAACAAAGTATTACTGGTTTTTATATTTTCAAGGTAATTAATGTATGTACTTTTTCATTAGGAGGATTATTAGACAGATTTGTAAAAAGATATAGCCAATCTCTTATTTATACCTATTTTTTAAAATCCTTAACCTATGAAGTATGAACTATAATACAGACATATAAAAAATATAGGATACAGAGACATAACACCTGCACACACACTAACACACATATAATAATATTGATAATAAGCTTCTCAAAAATATATTAAAAGGCATTACTTTACAATGTAAGCACTTGGTCTTTTTACGAAAAAAATCTCAAAATAAGATAAAATTATATCTTTAAAACAATGCATATTCACCTTTTCAAACCTATTCACTATGTTTTATATTTTATTTTTCTATGATAATGAGCTTTAAAAAAATTAAGGGACACTTAATAAGGAGTGTCTAAAATGTGTCAAATAATAGTTTAGGATGTTGGTGTGAGAAAAGCATTTGACGCTGTGTCACTTCAAATAAAGTAAGTGTTTATGCTTCATAGACCTTAACAAGTACACAAGAAGACTTGTTAGCATTTGCTTACAAGAAATTACTCTAATTCACTTTGTCCATCTTTAGACTTCACCAAAAAAATTGTGTCACTATTTTAACTAAATTTAAAAAAAAAAAAAAAAAAAAAAAAAAACTTCTGGCCCCATCTTTGTTTTAGCAGCAGTTATGCAGAATTCAGATTGAGCAAACCCTGTGGCTTTAGGCACAGTCATTCACCATTTTAATCATTTGGTGCCTCCTTTTACTTTTTTTCTAAACAAGTCCTCCAAAAAATGGAAATTCACAGCTTTACATCAAATGGATGCTAAGATTTTCAAAACTGTTTAAGGCAATCATGGTCAACCACACAATAAATTTCAAGCTTAACATCCATAATAATGTGAAATATTTCTCTTAATAGTTTCAAGCATAGACAACCAGATAGTTATATTTCAAGTGTATTTTTTATCAGTCACACCATCATGCACCTAAACAGCACATCCTTCAAACCAAAACATCATTGCTCAATCTGATTTGAATAGAAATTTTAATAACTACACCTGAGATGATGAAAGGCCATATATTTACCAATTACACAATCAATGATACTGAATATAACGATTGTACAATAAAGGCATATGATGATTAACTTACCGATCAAACATGCTTTGCAGGATGCACCAGTTCAAAGTCCACTCAAGGGGCTTGGTTAGTATTAAACGATATTGTGTTCCATTAGTACCAGATTTTACTGAAGGTCCAGCACCTGGGACCCACTGAGAAATGGGGAAAGCAAGCACGCCCTTGTTGAGCATTCCAATCAAGTAGTTTTCCTTCCGCATCAATCTCATCACCATGTCATGAGCAGAAAGATCCTTTACCACACAGAGTTGTCGTGAGCTTTGCACAAGAACAACCTTTTCAAGAATTGTAGCCCAGGGCATAGTTTGAATTTCACTATCAGTAACATGAAGACTGCAAGAAGATTGGGGTAAATTATGGCAAAAAGACTTGAGTAATGCAAAATTCATCAATTCCTTAAATACAATTTATTTGTTTATAATTCATACTTACCTATTGTAATAGAATTGTCGGATTTCCAAAGTATCCTTTAGCTGAGCAAAGAATCTCAAGAAGCAAAATATCCAATATATAGAAAATATTCCCAAGTATCCAACAATAATTGCTTTGCTAACTGTTAATGGGGTCAAAGGGTGTGGATGAAGAGCTTCCTTAGCAAGATCACAAGGCTTCATTCCAGATTCAACAGCATCCATCCCACACTTTGCATTACGGAGCCCATTCCAATCAACATATAATAAAAAGAATCCTGAAAAACATATGGTGAATCCTAGACTCAGAAGTTCAACAATCCACTTTATAATGATGCACCAGAGCCCTTTCTCACAGTAGTAGCTGTAAAGTCTTTCGAAGAAGAGATCCAAATCAGCAATTGGTTCTACATTTAGGCTTTCACCATTAAGAAGCCCTGAAGGACTCTCACTACCTGGACTTGGGATCCTTCTATAATCGGACAATTCAATCTCTGGTGGAACATCCTGAAGTAAACTTGTTGTCACTGATGATTCATCTTGACGTTTCCATTTGAATATATTAAAAGCACTAGCATCTCTTGGCCTGATAAACATTGTTCACAGACACTGACTGCTGGCATAAACAGCCAGTCCATGCCCCAAAGACCTAAATGTTTATGACAAGGTTCTACAGACACGACAGAATCAATATTAGTATCTTGCAAAGGGAGTACAGAAAGATAAATTAAGAGATAGTATTTCATACTTTTAGCCTAATGAACTATAAAATTGAACAAGTGGAGCACAAAAGTTAAAGCTTTGCGCTGCTACCAATGCAATTGTTCCTATTAACAAACCCAACCCAAAGTAACGAAAGCTAAAATTGCAAATCACCAACAGAAATACAGTCAGCTCAACAGGACCTTATACAAATAGTTGGAGTGAAAAACATTGCTAATGTTTCCTATGCCAAACTATCAACCAATAAACCTAACCACTATCTATCTCAGTTCCTCACTGGCATCTCATAAGAACATGGAGGGTGGAGGAGCAGACCTCACTAACAAGCAAATTGTATAGAGACATCATGCTAACATATCTATCTATGATGTGAAAGGCCTAAACCAATAGAAGCAATCAATCATATCAATATCCACACCAAACTTCAACAGACACATGGAAGTTACAAATTTCAACTTCCCTATCCAAGTGTAAGCACAGGAATATTTTCCCCCTTTTTTCTCAATTTCACTTGCAAAAGCAACAGGTGAAAAGCAACAAGCTTTTTTGTTTGCACATGAAAAACAAAAATCCAGAAAGGGAAAGCTGAGTCATAATATATCCAAATTGAGCTGAATAATGCAGTGATGCATCAAAGTACAACTACATTACGAAACAACGTATTGCGCGAAACAAGAACGATCAAAACAGCACGATTACATACTTATATCATAATAATAATAAATAAATAAAAACTATTCTTGGCGACACAAGCAAATTAAGTGAAACAAAAACTAGTAAAACATAATTACACAGATAGATAGAAACGCTACTTGAACCCCTCCCCCCATAATAAAACCGTGTGATCAGCGAAAAACACAACAAATTATGCACGAAAAGATGGGTTTTTGCGCAGAGGAAAAAAAAAAGTGATGGAAAGAGAAAAAGTTACCTAGAACTAAGGAGAAAACATGGGAGTGAAGGATACCCAGAAAGAGAATTCGCTGAAAAGGTAGAGAAAGTTGAAGAATTTGAGAGGATGAGACAAGTCGGGGAAGTGATTGAATAAGCGGAGAAGACAAAGAAGGAAAAGGAAGGGTTTTTGTTGTTTTTGGTTGCGTGGAGGAAGAGGAAATTACAGTGATAATAATTTCATATGAAAAACATGCGATGATTCTATTCAGTTTCTCACCCTTCTCTCTGCTTCTTCCTCTTTCTCTTTCCTTCCAATTTTGTTCCTTAATATCATCAACAACCACTAGCAAGGACTAGGGCAACTTATCACTCTCACAAGGATGATTCTTCTATTTTCTCCAGGTTTAAATAACATTCTTTTTATTTTTCTCATTATCTTCTTCAAATACCCATCTTTATATTTTTACTCCTCCACCTTTTGGCTAATCATTTTGATTTTTTGATAACAAAACAATTTTTAATTTCTATTAAAAATCTGAGACCCAAGGGTGACCAATTCCCAAAGTTTAACAACTTTCAATGCTTATCATAATTAACTAACAAATAGTGATTTGACAAATTTAGAACTTGACTAACTAAATTAGCACTATTCTTATTCATCCACAACTTTTAATTCTACAATTCGTAGTACAAACACAAACTTTCTTTCCTTCTTGGTATCGTGAAAAGGGGGGAAAATGCTAGACAAACAAGAATTCTGATACGTACATGATTTAATCTGAAAAATATATTTACGCAAGTATTCATTCATTCTTGTATGACCATATAATATATTATATATTAATTTAATATGTTTAAGAAACGGCATTGCGATTTGCAAGGTAACCTGTCCCACAAGTTTTCGTTTCTTTGCTTTCAGCTTAGGCACACTCAAAAGGAATATGATAATATCCTCTTTTAATGATTATGGTCTGGGCTTTACTAAGTCAAGTGCGTTCAAACTAGGCCCAAAGAAACAGAAACTCGTGTTATCTGGGCTGGGCTGTGCTTTGCTGTGCTGGGCTGGGCTTTGTCTTGGTTATCAGTGTGTGCATTGAGCCTAACCCAACTTCAATAGTATTGGGTGTTCTTTGTGTGTTTATGTTTCACTTTAATCCCTTGCATGAGTAGGATTGACATTAACTGTGCCTTCTGCAGATTAGGGAAATGGAAAAAATGGCAATGGAGGAAAGAGATCCTTCTATCTCAAATAAGTAAATATAAATCCATATTAAATATGTATTTTATTTAATTTATTATAATTCATTAAAAATATTTATTTTACATAACATGTTTTTTTACTATAAACTTACAAATAAATAAAATTGCTTAAAAATAATTGAAGAATGATTAAATTTATATAATATTAAATATTTGAAATAAACTATTATTATTAAATAATATTAAATAAAATATAATAATTTATCGTCAAATTAAGTTATATATTTATTTGAGTTGTGTATATGATGACGTCTTTTACATGTAACACCAAACGCTTTGTACTTGTTTTTTAATTAAACATTTGCGGTGAGTTTCGATTTAATAAATATTGAGCACATGTTTAGGTTGATTTATTTCACTTTAATAAATCTTATAATAAAATTATTTTAAAGAAAAATGTTTAGTTAAAAACTTCAACAAAAAAATAAATAAATTCAAACATTTTTTTTTTGTCTCAGAAGATTTAAGACTTATATTTAAATTTTAATAATTATGCAATTTACTTTCGCTGTATTTGCTTATAACAATATTCAGAGTTTCTTTTAAAAATTTTGCGATATAAAAAAAGGTTATAATATTCTTCATTATTTTTGGGGAGAGTTTATTACATTCTTTTAATTACAAGTCAGGAAATTTTTTTCTAAGACAATATTTTTTATAGTTGTCATATTTTTAAAACTTTAAAGAATCTAGCAACAAGCCAAAGAGTAAGGAGAGTTTTTGTCAATCTCAATACTGATTGTGAGTATATATATTTATTATATAAAAAATATATTTTATTAAAAACACTTCAAATTAATATTAAAGATTAATGATAATGTTTTATTTTTTTAATTATGAATGTCATGGAAATATTTATTAAATGATTAATAAATAAATTATTTATTATTTCAAAGCATAATGAACTATATGTTGATAATATTTGTAATAAAAATAATTAATGTTGCGGGTGATTTTGGCGGGAACCAACGTATCAAAGCACGCGCCAAAATAACCCTACTTTATAGGTGTCCACTCCAAAATCTCAGTGTCACAGAGTTGCATTGCAGATCCGAAAGCATGGAAAAATCCTTTGAGTCTCCGTCTCCATCTTGCAGAGGCAGATCCAAGAAGAAGCTTCATCTCCGAAGCTCTGAAGTTGAATCGCCAGATTCAGTTCAACTGAGCTCCAAGACGCCGGAGAAGAAGACACTGCAGCGCACGCGCAATCGCGGCGTTGCGCTCTCCGTCGCGGAAATCAGGAAGGTCGCTGAGCGCTTGCAAGATCGGAAGCAATGCAATGATACGACTTCGTCGCAGGTTAAATCTGCTAGGAGGCAAATTTCTTTGCCTTCCCCTAGTAAACCCAAGACTACTTCTGATGAATCACTCAAGCTACCCGAAAAGTATGTATTTGATGTTTTTCATTTTGCTGTTATGGAAAATTTATCTTTTTTTTGAATTTTTTCATTTGGGGTTTTTGTGTAGGTATGAAATTTTGGGAGAGTTCTTCAACAACTTGGATAGTTCGATTCGATTATTGCGTTTGAAGGGATCGATGCCGTCCTTTACAAATATCAGTCCCAAGATTGAATGTTTAACTGATAGGTATGTAATATATATTTTTTAAGAAAATATAATAATAATAATATTATTATTATTATTATTATTTTGTATTTTAAGGTTAGTATTCAATCAATGAATTGTGTTTTTGACATGTTTAATTATTATTATTATTATTATTATTATTATTTTGCATTTTAAGGTTAGTATTCAATCAATGAATTGTGTTTTTGACATGTTTAGGAGGTTTACGCATGGCCATCTGGCCCAGATGAAATTTGTCTTACCCGAGGCTATTGTTATTAAGAAGGTGTTGGTGTTTGATGAACGGACAAGTTGTATGAAGCCGGATCTTCATGTTACTATAAATCCTGATGCGGTGGAATCTGACGCAAAGGCGTTGCCTCAATGCGGGAGTGTGTCGCTCAGGAAGTTGTTTCGCACACGGCTCAGAGATTTTTGTAAATCTCATCCTGAGGTGGGAGACTATAATTCAAACTTGCATTTCTGCTTAATCAGATTTTTATTATGCTAAAATTATTGCTGATTTTTGCTCTCTCTGCCAAACATTACCTTTTTAATCATGTGTACTATTTGGTCTAAAAAATGCAACTCCGTGCAGGGTGATGAAATTCCAGAGGAAACACTGCCTGAGCCATTCAATCACCCAAAGAAAGACAGTATATTGGACATGTTGAAAACACGGTCCTCATCTCTGGCTACAGGGACATTATCTGATGCATGTGAAGCTCATTCTCCAGCAATTTTGACTCCATGTATGAAGAATAATGACGTTGCCAATGATGCAGAACCTGGTAGCATAGAAGAAAATTTGTCAGTGCCTATCACGACATCGGCTGAATTGCTTTACCAGCAGCCGGCAATAGCCTCTCATGTGCCTCAATCTTTTCGAAGGCAATTTTCTCAGAAATGTAAAGCGAATGGAGCAGATAACGTACAGCAAAAGTCTCCTTTAGATTCATTACCACCCCTGGCCTTTTCAGTTTCAGTGTCTAGCCCGAAGAAAAATCCGTCTGTTGATGGTACTAAATCTCATCTGAGAGCTTTCCCATCTAAGTTGGCTTCGGAAACAACTAGTAGTGGAAGGTGTATAGCTATGTGTGCCTCTTTGGAATCATCCAATGCTCCCCCTTGTACTCCAAGCAAAACCATTGAGCATAAAGAAAACAAAGATGGGTCTCTCGAAAGCATTGATGCCATGTCAACTCCAGCTAAATTTATTTCTACTCCGTCCAGGTTGATGACTGCCACACCTGCCTTGCCTTCACCCAAAAGACATTATATGAGCCCAAATGACAACTCTACTAGTTCTTTGAACAAGTTAGTTAGGCGTCCACCTCGTTCTAGGTCATTGAAATTTGACTCTCCAGTGAAGAATAAAGAGACTGTGAATGAAGACACTGCTGGTGCCTTACCAATAGATGATGATGTTTTTGAAATTCTCCCAGAAAATCTTATAAAATCGGTATGGCCTTTCTTTTACAATGCTACCTGAATAAAACTCACCTGTCCCCTTTTAATATATATTTTGGTAATAACAAATCATTTTGTTTGCAATTTCCTGTATAGGTCCACTAGCTTGAGTGCTAAAGTTTTATTGCAATACTAAAAGTCTAGCAGTCATGGCATCCATTTGACATCAGACCTTCACTAGGAATAAAAATTATTGTTGAAATCTTCTTAAATAATAAAATTGGACTAATAAAAAAAATATGAATTACTTGTTAGTAGAGAAACAATTGAAATAAGGCTTTCTTCTTCCTTTTTAATCTGTTGTCCTATGAAGTATGGTCAAATTTCTGTATCTTTGGCACTAGTGCGTAAATTGTGCCTGTGGCTTATTTGTGTCTGCACTGAGCCTAACCTAACTTATTGCACCCTGAGTTCATCTATTTCTTGAGTAGTTTAATAGTATTGGGTGTCCATTATCTGTTTAGGTTTTACTTTTATTTCTTGCATGAGTAGGATTGACATTAACTGTGCCTTCTGCAGATTAGGGAAAAAGAAAAAATGGCAATGGAGGAAAGAGATCCTGCTATCTCACAAGCAAAGAGACGGAAAAAAATTATTGCCAGCCTACCTAAGCTGTTTAACATGATTCACCTCTTGTTTCACAAGCGTTCTGTTATCACTAAAGAGGAGCTTGTGAGCAAGATAATCTCAAACCACTGTGATATTGTTGACAGAAGTAAGGCACTGTTCTATGCAAAAATGATTTAAATTAAGCCTATAGTTTATAGTTATCTGAAAACTAAAATTTGTGGTTTGTAATCTTAGGTGAAGTTGAAGAACAGATGAATTTGTTGCAAGAACTAGTACCTGAATGGATTTCTGAGAAGTTGGCCTCTAGTGGGGATTTCCTAGTCTGGTAAGTTTCTTTGGTTTAAGCATGTTTTCTATTCTACACTTATAATTTTAACAATGTACCTTACCTTTTCCTTGGTTTTGATTGTATCATTTGTGTTTTTTGTAGCATAAATAAAATGTTGAACCCTGAAACTGTACGAGCATCACTTGAAGAAGCAAAGTGAGCAAGGAGACAAATTTATTTAAAAGTACTTGTAGAGGTTTATGAAGCCCATGATGAAAATTGTCTTTTGGGCTGCTTGTAGATGTTCAATTTATTTTGTCGTGGGTTTCTTGTAGCTGTTCAATCTATTTTCTTCTGGGTAAATTCATGAGAGGCAATATTGCAAATCTACTCTTCTTTGTACATTGTAAGTATCACATTACAGTCAGTCCATGAAATATAAATCAGAGGCAACCGCCTTCATTTACCTAGGGTGGATTGGCAATGGCAATGCTTTTTGTACATAAGATATCAATTATCCTAATTTAACATAATCAATATTTATTTCTTACTAGTTTATGGCGCAGTTGACTTTATGATTCTTGGTAATTGCTATTTTTTTTAAATTTATCTTAAATGTATTTAAATGATTTTCTTCACGTTTGGGGTGAATTCCTGAAGGGGAGTAATCATTGGTCACATTGAAATTCTTTCATCAAACTCAGATGCAGACAAATCTGGATGTCTCTGAAACATGAGACTTTTCCTTTTTAGTTGAAAATTGAAAAGGAGTATTATCAAAGCCCACACAAATTGATAACAATTTAAGACTAATTGAATGATAAAAGTTTGTAGATAAAATAATATGATAAAAAAATTAAATTGCCGTTTTTTCTAGACCAATATTCTATTCATGAGGGCTCATAATTCATTAGAAGTTACATTTTATAATACAGTGAAGTTCTCATAGTCATAAAGCAGAAATCAGATTATTGCCAGAATAATCTTTTTCATAACTGGGCTTATAGCTTTGCCATATTCTTCTTTCAATATATGTTAATTGGTTTCCTGTATTACGTTCCTTGGTGGCACCTCTTGCTCAGCTGATGTCTCTGTATGCATCACACTTTCTTTCTGCTCAACATGTGTTGGAATAGATTGTTGGGACTTATAATCTTGATCACTTTCTTTTCCCCATAATAGCAAGTACAGACCAATTATAACAATGACTACTCCCAATAAACTGAAACAGCCAAACATTTTTCAGAACTGTAGAAACAATGGGCTCAATTGTGCTTAAAAAGAGAAATATAGCGTACCTGCCAGTATGTAGTTGTTCCCCAAAAACCAAATATGCTAGGATTGCCACCAAAATTGTTCCAAGGGGACTAAACATACTCACAAAGACTGGCCCTTTTCGTTCCGTGGTCCAGAACTGACTGAAGATAATAAAACCCCCACATATGACTCCCTGCCATTAATCAAGTGTGATTCTGTTAGGATTTTATTTAAAATTGATTTTACTTTTTAATTTCAGCCTCTTAATTCTATACTTACTGCATATAAAATGCAAAAGATTTCAATAGTGGATGTGATGAACCATGCTGTAGGTTTGTCTTGCACAAGTACAGTAAAGACAGCAGACTGTGCTGCACCCATGCAATTTATCCATACTGTTAGCGACAGTTGTGCTGGATATTTCTTCACTACAATTGCCTACAAGCCAAGCAAGTAATGCTATTTATGGGTTGGGGAGCTGAAGTTGTGATGATATTACTCAATTATAGATAAATAAAAAAATGCAAGTAACACACTCTTTTAAATACACTATTTGGTATTTACTTTGTTAATTAACAACTTTTTTAAATTTCTTTGACCTTTTTAAAAAATTGAATAATTACATGAAGTATATTAAAAATTATATTAAATAGTGTGCTGTTAGCATTTCTCTAAATAAATATACCTGCAGTATGTACCATAAAGACCATGACATGCAACTTGCAATAGTCAAAATTGATCCTTTAATCCAGTTATTATGAACCAATTTGCCTTTGATATGCAACGGGGCACCCTGTAAGCTTTGTATCGTATGCCCTTTGTACAAAGTCATTATCAAGGCACCAACCAATGATAATACAGTTCCTAAAATTTTGGCCAGCCCATGAGGCTTCTTCACATCAACAGCCTCTAGCCTGTTTAAAAGAATCATGAACAAAATAGTCAAATGCAGAACTCTTGTTTTGTAGTGAGACTTAGATTATTTAACAAAATATTATCAGTGTTGAAAACAAACTAACTTGAGCTACTCACCTGAGTCCAACTGCGATTATAAATGTAAGAGATGATATTGCGTTAATCATCGATGCTGCAAAGGAAGGAGTGGTATATTTCAAACTTGCAAAAAACATGTTCACGGCAAGACTAACCCTGTTTTTCATAGTGAAGGAAAGTAAAGAGCAATGTAAGTTTCTTCATAATTTGATTACTAATGTATTTATGTTAAAAAAATGTCACTTGAGGACAATACCCGAAGAGGGAAAGAAAAAATAGCTCCATGAGCATTGTCATCGTCAATTTTGGCCATACTTTTCTGCAAAGAAGGAAATCAGATATAATGAAGTCGACACTTGGAAAGTGAAAATGGTTCTTCTAGCATAACTGAATCAAGGAAATCAGAGCATATGTTACTTTAATCAACATACAATGTCGTTGGTCTAGCATGAGTACTTTTACATGTGCATAAATTGCAGCACTGGAATAAAGTAAAGATATGTAGTATCAAGTATCCACTAAAATCGTTTTCACAAAACTTTTAGTAGGTGGATATAAGATGTACCTTTCAAGAACATAAGCAAAAGGAAGCACAACTATGCCCCCAACAGCATGCCGATAAGTAACAAAGACATGAGGGTTCATCCCTTTGTTTAATGAAGCCTCTACTAGGAAATAGAGAAAAGAAAGAGATATCTGAACAAGAACCATGATAAGGTGAGGCTTGAATTTCCTATACATCACCCCAAATGCACATTCACTGTTAGACATAGCTTAAGAATTTTGTGCTAAACTTGGCTTCTCCTTGATTGATTGTGAAGTTGGGATGCAAACTCCTAGGTTTATATATACAGATGGAAGATCTTTTTCCTCATATTCTTGCATATTAGCCTCAACTTCTAAAGGAAACTGACTTGGAAAGCTGATGACTGACTGGATCAAATACCTTATAATAGTTAGTTGAAAGTAATACACATGGAATACAACATAATATCACAGATATTAGTTAGCTTCGATCATTGTTTTAGACTTCAATCTCCAACCACAATTGTGGTTGCATCAACAGCATTTATCCGCAATCTTCCACAATATCAAGAATCGTGACATGTCTGTGACTGCAACCACAATTTAAACACATGCTGTGATTCTTTCACCTACACCCTAACTTCTATCTATATACCGTCTAGGAGTAAGTCTTTTCTTGACAAGACTAATTTCCTCAAAGGGACCTAATTAAAATCTAAAATTATTACTATATCCTTCAAAATGATTGACATCATTTTAAATATATTTATAAGGGTATCACTAACCGGTACCGTTAGTACACTGGTTAAAGCAATTGAAAATGATAAGTTTTTACTGAAACTTACGTTAGATTGCTTTGAAAATCACAATAGAAAGTATATTTATTATATTTCTTACAAGATTTTCACTTTTGGTTCATTAACCGGTGCTCTAAGGGAGCAGTAGTTAGCATTTGCCAATTTATCCTCTCAGAGAACTAATTCTTAAACAGGTAGGGAGAAAAAGATGAATAAAATTCAAAATGTTTAAAACTGTCGCTAGTAGGACACAGAAATTGTACACGTTCTACTTAGTGTACATACAACAATATTGACCCGTTGCACCTTTTCCTTTTTCATTTTTTTTATTATTTCTTTCCCCTTCCCCCTTATTCTTTGGTAAAATCTTGTCATGAAATGAATTTCATAGTACGGTGACATGCTGGAAATTCTTCAGAAAAAAAGAAAGAAAAAAAGTCCTTTTGTATGTCTCTTGGTTCAAGTGTATTACCATTACCTATTGAGCCGTATTTTATGTGAAGCAAAAGATATTTTATGCCCAGAATATTACTTATTTCCTAAGTCTAAGGTATAGACGGGGTAGAGGAACTCATGATACGAAAAAGAAAAAAGAAAAAAAAAAGGAGAAGCAAATTCCAGGCGCTTTACAGTTTCCTGATCAGAAAATATCAGATATGCATGGCTAGTAGTTAGAAGTAAAGGCTGTTGAATGTGTCTTCAATAGATGCAAAACAATGAAAGATCTATTCCATGTCATTTTATGAACTTAGCACTTTCCAGTTTTTGGCCATTGATATTTCTTCTTAATGGGAATATCTAGGCTGGAGAACTAAAATGAGAAATGGGTTCTTTCTTTAGTGCATCATTGTCATCTGCACATATTTTCAACTTTAAAAAAAATTCTAGTGGCCAGAATTTAAGCTTTGTGCTTAAATGTGTATTCTATCTTCTACTCTTTCGTTTCCCTTCCCTTTCTTTTCTTCCAAATTCTGCATTTCATTCCTTGTTTTATCTGTAGATTCACTGGAATATGTTCCTCTTTCTTCTTCCGTGCCAACAAGTCTTGGTTCATTTGAAAAAATTCTCCCCTTTAAGAGGATTTCTTGTTGATAACATGCACTTGAAAGGAGAGGGACCAAAATCCACCAAGCATGTTTCAAGAAAACTATTATTATCAATTATCATGTGTTATAATTACATATTTACAATTACATGGATGTTCAGCTTATCAAAACAAATAAAGAAACAAATTATATAAGAACTTTGTTTATTCCATGAATTAAATTGACCTTATTTTACATAACAGTCTAATTCAAATGTACGTATACATTAAAGCAGTAACCCTTTAGTAAGTCTCTTTCATCCTCAAAAGTTTAGATTCTCACCTCTACTATGGCTACCCAAGCTAGATACCTTAGACGGAACAACTTACTCAAATGGCATTCCCTCGAAATCAAGCAGTTTGAGTTGTCTTATTGTCTTAATTGAGATTGGATCATACTTTTAAAAGATGTTACACCATTCAAATGACCATGTACCACGGTTAGCACTTAGTAACTATGTAGCTACAAAGTACATGAAGTTTGAAAAATATCATATTCCTTTCCCACATGTATACACACTTTATGTCAAACGCAGACTCAGCAATTCAAGATGCATATTGATATATCAAATGTCCATGCTTCCTAGGTCACAACCTTTATGCTCTAGCACATGATTTTACTTCTCTACAGGCTGCAAATCTTTCAATGAGAAGCGTTGGCTCAAAGGTTTCAGGCCTTAGTACATTTGCAATTTCTTTCATATGATCTCTCAATTTGTAGTTTTTTTTTTAGACAAGTCGTGTAAATATTTTTTTCTTTTTTATATGGTATCTACCTACGTGACATCTAACTTTACTTATATAATATGAAGTTAGCATGGATAATACATAAATATCTACACTTTCATTATTTTCAATTTTTAAGTCACATTTTCAACTGCCCTAACTTTAGAAATTAAATAAGATATGATATTGTTAATGACATATATCGTTTGTACTATTTTCCAATCAAGTTATATAATCAACTCGTATATTGTGTAAGAAATAACAATCATTAACAAAGGACTTAATGAAAATAAAAATGAATTTTGAGGGACTAAATAAAAAATTTTAAAAAAAAGGAACAAGTAAAAAATCATATTTTTAAAAAATAAGATCTTATTTAAGCCAAAACTGTTAATTATACAACACAAGTAAAACATTTTTGTACAAATGAAAAGAGATTAAAAAAAGAAACAAAAAGAAAGAAGTATATGAGATGATAAATGATATGATAGAAAGAAAATAATGTTATAGAAAATGTTACAATTCTTTGTCAAAGAAAAACTATAATTAAAGCTTATAGAAGGGAAGTGTCTTGCAGTCAAGCTCCCTTCTGTTTTTGCACTCGAGGGCCAATCTTCGTCTAAAATCTATCTTAAGAAAAAAGTTTTACTAAATGGATACCGTCCGTTATTCGAAAGGCAGAATTGAAATATAGTGTCGAACAAGTAAGTGTAACTGTTGAGTTCTTTCAAAGAAGAAAGGACGGATTATTCACATTTCATTTAATGGTCAGAGGCGAATTGAAAGCTAAGCAGTGATAATTCTAAGAATTCATCCAGAAAAAAATAGAGATGTCTCCTACGTTACCCATATCATGTGGAAGTAGGTAAAAGCAATAATTTGTATTTTTTAAATGAATTATTTTTGTTTGCTGAAATTAAATACATTAATATGAATGGAATTGACTCGATCATCAAATTATAAATTATAAGTTCATAACTCTAGCTCATTCCTGAAAGAATTCGGTCTTATACATATATAAAAAAGATAACAAAAAAAGAAAGAAGAACTCATCTCGACTGTACAAGATAAGTTAATTACTTAATCTTGTCTTCTTCAAGAATAATTAAAAGTAACATTGATAACTATGTTGTATAGTGATTTTGCATTGAGGTGATTTGCATCATATTAGAATTTACACAACTTAATTTGAGAAAAAATCCTACAAGCACTTTGAAATCTTCAGCGTATATATTCTTCTCAAGGTTCCATTACAAATGCCGGTTGTGAAATAAAAAGAACCAAATGAAGTCTCAGTGTTTAGAAAACCTCAACAATGCAAAGGTTGAGATTATTTGGGCACAAGTAACTCGGAAGGTACATCTCCTTTTTTGGTAAGGAATATACCAAAAATATCACTTGAATAACATTGTATAATATTTTTTAATAATTTTATATTATAATAAATATTTTATCGTTTTATTAAATCCTGATCTATTATTATTTTAAGCAATGAATGCTGGTGAAATTTAAAAGAGCTTATATCTAAATGATTTTGTATTTTTAATGCACTTTTAAATAAAAATATATCATAACTTAATAGTTTAGACCACAAGGAAAATTATTAGGGGCAAAAAAAATTTTTATAAAATATTTAACTGCATTAATTGAGACTTGAACTTGTGAGTATAAGTTAAATTGGAATATATATTATATTTTAATAAAATAAAATTATAACATTTTAATAAAATTAAAAATTAAGCTTTTTTTAAAAAAATTGTTATATATATATTTTTTATAAATTGAATTAATTTTTTATTAAAAATAATAATATAGTAATAAATAAATATAAACATTAAAAAAAATCAAAAGATAATACTTTAAGAACTGCAAAATAATTTTTAATAAGATTCTGCAGATAAAAGTAAGTTAAAGCTTTATAAGCCTAAATTTTTTATGAAATAATATAAAATAAAATAAAAAATTTATTAAAAACTATATATTAATAAATAAATCAAAAGTTAATTCCTTTATGATGATAACTTTGATCTGATCAAAGATAAAAAAAAAATAATTTGCAGCTCTGTTGAATGTTTTAAATATTTAAAAAAAAAATCATAGCTTCGGACAAAATTATCTTCGATAAAAGATAATTGTATTAAAAAGAAAATAAAAAACAAATTTATTTGAGATAAGCTGTGAGAGGCTTTGAGCTTACCCTTGTACAGTGAAAATCTTGTTTCTCATAACGAAACCAAAAACACTTTCCCGGATAATATTTTTTAGTTTTTTTAATTTTTCATTGTCATTTTAAAATACCAATCTTTATATTTTTACTCCTTTAACGTTTGGTTAATCGTTTTCATTTTTTAAAAACAAAACTATTTTTAATTTCTATTATATTTGGGCTTTACTAACTCAAGTGGGTTATAAAATGAGGCCCAAAGAAACTGGGCTTTATATTAATGGCGGGAACCAACGTATCATCGAAGCACGCGAGAAGCACCACATCAATTTTCCCGCCAAATAACCCTAGTTTATAAGTGTCCAACTCCCAAGTATGTGTCTCGCAATTACATTGCAGATCTGAAAAGCATGGAAAAATCCTTCGAGTCTCCGTCTCTATCTTGCGGAGGCAAATCCAAGAAGAAGCTTCATTTCCGAAGCTCTGAAGTTGAATCGCCAGATTCAGTTCAACTGAGCTCCAAGACGCCGGAGAAGAAGACACTGCAGCGCACGCGCAACCGCGGCGTTGCGCTCTCCGTCGCGGAAATCAGGAAGGTCGCGGAGCGCTTGCAGGATCGGAAGCAATGCAATGATAAGACTTCGTCGCAGGTTAAATCTGCTAGGAGGCAAATTTCTTTGCCTTCCCCTAGTAAACCCAAGACTTTTTCTGATGATACACTGAAGCTACCCAAAAAGTATGTATTTGATGTTTTTCATTTTGCTGTCATGGAAAATTTATATTTTTTTGAATTTTTTTCATTTGGGGTTTTTGTTTAGGTATGAATTTTTGGGAGAGTTCTTCGATAGCTTGGATAGTTCGATTCGATTATTGCATTTGAAGGGATCGATGCCGTCCTTTACAAATATCAGTCCCAAGATTGAATGTTTAACTGATAGGTATGTAATATATATTTTTTTAAGAAAATATTTTAGTATTTTGATTATTATTATTATTATTATTATTGTTGTTGTTGTTGTTGTTGTTGTTTTGATTATTATTATATTTATTGTTATTGTTATTATTATTATTATTATTATTATTTTGTATTTTAAGGTTAGTATTCAATCAACGAATTGTGTTTTTGACATGTTTAGGAGGTTTACGCATGGCCATCTGGCCCAGATGAAATTTGTCTTACCTGAGGCTATTGTTATTAAGAAGGTGTTGGTGTTTGATGAACGGACAAGTTGTATGAAGCCGGATCTTCATGTTACTATAAATCCTGATGCGGTGGAATCTGATGCAAAGGCGTTGCCTCAATGCGGGAGTGTGTCGCTCAGGAAGTTGTTTCGCACACGGCTCAGAGATTTTTGTAAATCTCATCCTGAGGTGGGAGACTATAATTCAAACTTGCATTTCTGCTTAATCAGATTTTTATTATGCTAAAATTATTGCTGATTTTTGCTCTCTGCCAAACATTACCTTTTTAATCATGTGTACTATTTGGTCTAAAAAATGCAACTCCGTGCAGGGTGATGAAATTCCAGAGGAAACACTGCCTGAGCCATTCAATCACCCAAAGAAAGACAGTCTATTGGACATGTTGAAAACACGGTCCTCATCTCTGGCTACAGGGACATTATCTGATGCATGTGAAGCTCATTCTCCAGCAATTTTGACTCCATGTATGAAGAATAATGACGTTGCCAATGATGCAGAACCTGGTAGCATAGAAGAAAATTTGTCAGTGCCTATCACGACATCGGCTGAATTGCTTTACCAGCAGCCGGCAGTAGCCTCTCATGTGCCTCAATCTTTTCGAAGGCGATTTTCTCAGAAATGTAAAGCGAATGGGGCAGATAACGTACAGCAAAAGCCTCCTTCAGATTCATTACCACCCCTGGCTTTTTCAGTTTCAGTGTCTAGCCTGAAGAAAAATCCGTCTGTTGATGGTACTAAATGTCATCTGAGAGCTTTCCCATCTAAGTTGGCTTCCAAAACAACTAGTAGTGAAAGGTGTACAGCTATGTGTGCCTCTTTGGAATCATCCAATGCTCCCCCTTGTACTCCAAGCAAAACCATTGAGCATAAAGAAAACAAAGATGGGTCTCTAGAAAGCGTTGATGCCATGTCAACTCCAGCTAAATTTATTTCTACTCCGTCCAGGTTGATGACTGCCACACCTGCCTTGCCTTCACCCAAAAGACATTTTGTGAGCCCAGATGACAATTCTACCAGTTCTTTGAATAAGTTAGTTAGGCGCCCACCTCGTTCTAGGTCATTGAAATTTGACTCTCCAGTGAAGAATAAGGAGACTGTGAATGAAGACATTGCTGGTGCCTTACCAATAGATGATGATGTTTTTGAAATTCTCCCAGAAAATCTTATAAAATCGGTATGCCCTTTCTTTTACAATGCTACCTGAATAAAACTCACCTGTACCCTTTTTTATATATATTTTGGTAATAACAAATCATTTTGTTTTGAATTTCCTGTATAGGTCCACTAGCTTTAGTGCTAAAGTTTTATTGCAATACTAAAAGTCTAGCAGTCATGGCATCCATTTGACATCAGACCTTCACTAGGAATAAAAATTATTGTTGAAATCTTCTTAAATAATAAAATTGGACTAATAAAAAAATATGAATTACTTGCTAGTAGAGAAACAATTGAAATAAGGCTTTCTTCCTCCTTTTTATCTGTTGTCCTATGAAGTATGGTCAAATTTCTGTATCTTTGGCACTAGTGCGTAAATTGTGCCTGTGGCTTATTAGTGTCTGCACTGAGCCTAACCTAACTTATTGCACCCTGAGTTCATCTATTTCTTGAGTAGTTCAATAGTTTTGGGTGTCCATTATCTGTTTGGGTTTTACTTTAATCCCTTGCATGAGTAGGATTGACATTAACTGTGCCTTCTGCAGATTAGGGAAAAGGAAAAAATGGCAATGGAGGAAAGAGATCCTACTATCTCACAAGCAAAGAGACGGAAAAAAATTATTGCCAGCCTACCTAAGCTGTTTAACATGATTCACCTCTTGTTTCACAAGCGTTCTGTTATCACTAAAGAGGAGCTTGTGAGCAAGATAATCTCAAACCACTGTGATATTGTTGACAGAAGTAAGGCACTGTTCTATGCAAAAATGATTTAAATTAAGCCTATAGTTTATAGTTTTCTGAAAACTAAAATTTGTGGTTTGTATTCTTAGGTGAAGTTGAAGAACAGATGAAATTGTTGCAAGAACTAGTACCTGAAGGGATTTCTGAGAAGTTGGCCTCTAGTGGGGATTTCCTAGTCTGGTAAGTTTCTTTGGTTTAAGCATGTTTTCTATTCTACACTTATAATTTTAACAATGTACCTTACCTTTTCCTTGGTTTTGATTGTATCATTTGTGTTTTTTGTAGCATAAATAAAATGTTGAACCCTGAAACTGTACGAGCATCACTTGAAGAAGCAAAGTGAGCAAGGAGACAAATTTATTTAAAAGTACTTGTAGAGGTTTATGAAGCCCATGATGAAAATTGTCTTTTGGGCTGCTTGTAGATGTTCAATTTATTTTGTCGTGGGTTTCTTGTAGCTGTTCAATCTATTTTCTTCTGGGTAAATTCATGAGAGACAATATAGCAAATCTACTCTTCTTTGTACATTGTAAGTATCACATTACAGTCAGTCCATGAAATATAAATCAGAGGCAACCGCCTTCATTTACCTAGGGTGGATTGGCAATGGCAATGCTTTTTGTACATAAGATATCAATTATCCTAATTTAACCTGATCAATATCAATTTCTTACTAGTTTATAGCATAGTTGACTTTATGATTCTTGGCAATTGCTATTATTTTTTTTCAATTTATCTTAAAATGTTTTTAAATGATTTTCTTCACGTTTTGGGTGAATTCGTGAAGGGGAATTATCTTATGTTTCATATAGCTGAGCAACTTTCACAATATGTGAGCCGCAGTCGGTTACAAATACTTGTATGTGTATAAACCATTGGTCACATTGAAATTCTTTCATCAAACTCAGATGCAGACAAATCTGGATGTCTCTGAAACATGAGACTTTTCCTTTTTAGTTGAAGATTGAAAAGGAGTATTATCAAAGCCCACACAAATTGATAAACAATTTAAGACTAATTGAATGATAAAAGTTTGTAGATAAAATAAAGGGATAGAAAAATTTAATTGCCGTTTTGTCTAGACCAATATTGTATTCATGAGCGCTCATAATGCATTAGAAGTTACATTTTATAATAACTAACTGATCGTGCCACCTAGTTATGCTTTAGATATCGCGATGTTCTCATCCTCATAGAGCAGAAAGCCGATTTTTGCCAGAATAATACTTTTCGTAATAGGGCTTATTTTCCGTTAGGATGAATAATAGCTTGATAGCCTTGTCACATTTATCTTTCAACATGTTAATCGGTGTCCTGTATTACGTTCCTTGGTGGCAACTCTTGCTCAGCTGAAGTCTTTGTATTTGTCACACATTCTTTCTGCTCAACACGTGTTGGAATATATTGTTGTGACTTATAATCTTGATCACTTTCTTTTCCCCATAATAGCAAGTATAGACCAATGATAACAATGACTACTCCCAATAAACTGAAACAGCCAAACATTTTTTTAGAACTGTAGAAACATGGACTCAATTGTGCTTAAACAGAGAAACATGCTGTACCTGCCGGTGTGTAGTTGTTCCCCAAAAACCAAATATGCTAGGATTGCCACCAAAATTGTTCCAAGGGGATTAAACATACTCACAAAGACTGGCCCTTTTCGTTCCGTGGTCCAGAATTGACTGATGATAGCAAAACCCCCACATATAACTCCCTGCCATTAATCAAGTGTGATTATGTTACAATTATATTTTAAATTGATTTTAATTTTTAATTTCAGCCTCTTAATTCTGCACTTACTGCATATAAAATGCAAAAGATTTCAACAGTGGATGTAATGAACCATGCTGCAGGTTTTTCTTGCACAAGTACAGTAAAGAGAGCAGACTGTGCTGCACCCATGCAATTTATCCATACTGTTAGCGACAGTTGTGCTGGATATTTCTTCACTACAATTGCCTACAAGCCAACAAGTAACTTTGCTATTTATGGGTTGGGGAGCTGAAGCTGTGATGATATAACTATATTATAGATAAATGAAAAATGCAACTAACACACTCTTTTAAATACACTATTTGGTATTTACTTTGTTAATTAATAACTTTTTAAAAATAAAATTGACCCTTTTAAACAATTGCATAATTTCATGAAGTATATTGAAAAGTATATTCAATAGTATGTTGTTAGGATTTCTCTAAATAAATATACCTGCAGTATGTACCATAAAGACCATGACATGCAACTTGCAATAGACAAAATTGATCCTTTAATCCAGTTATTATGAACCAATTTGCCTTTGATATGCAACGGGGCACCCTGTAAGCTTTGTATCGTATGCCCTTTGTACAAAGTCATTATCAAGGCACCAACCAGAGATAATACAGTTCCTAAAATTTTGGCCAGCCCACGAGGCTTCTTCACATCAACAGCCTCTAGCCTGTTTAAGAGAATCATGAACATAATAGTCAAATGCAGAACTCTTGTTTTGTAGTGAGACTTGGATAATTTAACAAAATATTATCAGTGTTTGAAAACAAACAAACTTGAGCTACTCACCTGAGTCCAACTGCGATTATAAATGTAAGAGATGATGTTGTGTTAATCATCGATGCGGCAAAGGAAGGAGTGGTATATTTCAAACTTGCAAAAAACATGTTCACGGCAAGACTGACCCTGTTTTTCATAGTGAAGGAAAGTAAAGAGCAATGTAAGTTTCTTCCTAATTTGATTACTAATGTATTTCTGTTAAAAAAATGTCACTTGAGGACAATACCCGAAGAGGGAAAGAAAAAATAGCTCCATGAGCATTGTCATCGTCAATTTTGGCCATACTTTTCTGCAAAGAAGGAAATCAGATATGAATGAAAGTCAACACTTGTAAAGTGAAAATGTTTCTTCTAGCATAACTGAAACAAAGGAAATCAGAGCATGTGTTACTTTAATCAACATACAATGTCATTGGTCTTGCATGAATACTTCTACAAGTGCATAACTTGCAGCACTGGAATAAAGTAAAGATATGTAGCATCAAGTATCAACTGAAATCGTTTTCACAAAACTTTTAGTAGATGGATGTAAGATGTACCTTTCAAGAACATAAGCAAAAGGAAGCACAACTATGCCCCCAACAGCATGCCGATAAGTAACAAAGACATGAGGATTCATCCCTTTGTTTAATGAAGCCTCTACTAGGAAATAGAGAAAAGCAGCAGATATCTGAACAAGAACCATGATAAGGTGAGGCTTGAATTTCCCATACATCACCCCAAATGCACATTCATTGTTAGACATAGCTTAAGAATTTTGTGCTAAACTTGGGGTCTCCTTGGTTGTTCTTGAAGTTGGGATGCAAACTCCCTACATTTATATATACAGATGGAAGATCTTTTTCCTCATTATTCTTGCATATCAGCATCAACTTCTAATGGAAACTGACTTAGTTATGGAAGTTGTGTCATTGCTAGTTTGCTAGTCGGTCGTGGCTGAGACCATGGCCATGTGGTCCAGGAGTGTTCGATCTCTCTCCTTGCTCCAAGAAAATAAAAAATGAGAAATTTTAGAAAAAAAAAGAAAAAAGAAATCTTATTTTGTTTTCTTTCATTTCTACTTTCTAACATTTACGCTTGATATTTGACCAAATAATCATATCAAATTGTTCAAATACTCTCAATCAAAATGCAATTGGTTAATCATAGCATTCTCCACAGGCTATTGTATGATGTAATGCAACGATAGCCTCTAAAAGCATAGCAAAGAAAAAAGTGTATTAAGATGTTTGAATGGAGTAATCAACCTATCTGATACAACTTAAATGGGATACGGATATGTTGAGAATTTTGAAGTATTCTTGCTGTCTTGCATTATATCTAAGAAAAGTTGTAAATCATATACAATCATTTACTATGCTAATGAGGATGTATACTACTAAAGAGATATTTTAACTAACTGATAGCTATTAAGAATCTTTTTAATGGCCATAGACCATTGGAAAGTCTGGTTTTGGTCTATTATTTAAAAAAATTTATTAGTGATTTGCTTTAATTAGAATTGCACAAGATCTAAACTTGTGAGGCAAAATATCAATCTCATCATCTCATGTATTTATATACTTTATATTAAATTGCTCCCTCAGTACATATTCTTTTCCTCTAAACATTGGTGTAATGTTAATTTCGGCAGAGAAAATAGGATGAGAGTAAGAATTAAAAAAGAAAAGAAAGGCAGATATTTATATCTTATAAAGGTACAAGTTTGAATTTTACTCGTAAAAATTTATTAATAAACTATTCATAGATATCCGTAGAGATACTATTTGAATCTTAATATATATATTTTTTAAGAAGCCTCTTAAAAGTCAATTTAGTTAAATTTTTATTTTAAAAAATTAAGTACTAATAAAATTTCGATAAAAAAGAGTTATTCTAACTTAATTTATATTTTTAAGTTTAAATTTCAATAAACACAAATCCATTGCAAAAGACAAATGCCACTAAACCTAACTTATTCTCCTAGGGCACATATTGGATTAAGCACTTTATCTTGCGAAAATTAGGTGTAGTTACTGTAGTTCTACATGGTGGTAGGAATAACCTCTTCTAGCCCAAAGCTTGTCAATTTTTAAACACATAATGCTTGGCTTTACTTGCAGCAATATCATTTAAGATTACTAGCTGTTGGATGTGATCAATGTCTGCTTTGTGCACAATCTAACAGAAATCAATAAAAAGTTCATTATTTTACCCGAAATTAATATACCTTTGCTGAAAGAGACAACTCCATTTTGGACCATATTAACTGTAGCATTATCATCATAGAACATTACTATAGTGGTCTATGAATGGAATACCACATTCTGCAAATATAAATTATATAACTGTTATATATTCCTTATTGAAATTGGAAACTCAATTTTATAGAGTTTAATTTAGATGAGGTGTTAATAATTTTAATAATATATGAAATATCAATTTTATTAAATGATGTAATATTTATTTTAATTAAATAAAAGTATATTGATAATACATTGAAATTAAATGCCTTCTAGTAATAAATCACAAGTCTACAAAAAGTTTCAGTTTCTTTTTCTATCTTCTTTTCCACTCAAAGATTGAAATATTGTTACTTCAAGAAAGGGGGATTCAAAGGAATTTAATCAAGCCAGATCATTATCATCTTTGGATTCCTTATGCCTTGTTTGTCATTTAGTTGGGATGACTTAATGAGCATCCAGGAAAGGATACGAGTAAAAGTTCAGATATTACTTTAAAGAGATATTTTAAAATAATCTCTAAATTAGTTTTCTTAAAAGATTTAAATTATTATCATATGAATCATTCCAAATATTACTATTTTAAGAAAGACTCAAATAATAATATAAAAATTTAACTTAGTGATAAATATTAAATCTCTAAAGAAATCTAAAATTTTATCACAGCAATCCTTATAAAGATTAATTTAATGATTTTAGAAAACTAATTCAATAACAATTAAAATTCGTATGTACTGTCATTTTTATACAGTCACTTTTGTTCAAAAGATCTTTTTTTAATCTTTTATTATTATATTAATAGTAAGATTATTTTAAATAAAAATTACTTGAATAAAAAATGATAGAAGAAAGTTTCAAACTTAATCAATAACACTTTGGTTTTTAAAAGACTAAGTAAAGATATTTTTTCCTATTTACTTTATGCATCTTGGCAAATTCCCAAAGCAAGTTACAGTATAAAAAAATAAAAATCATCCTGCACATTTTTGAAGTGTAAATCTTAGTTGTTTCACTTCTGGCTAAAAGATAATTCACTAAGGTAGTGACCACTAATGTCATTATTTAATTCAATAACTCGCATATATAATTAAAGATTGAGTAATTGTTAATTTTCACGCCCAACTTATATTGACTAGGAGAGAGAATGGGGGATCAAACTATTACTCATCACTTTGACGGCTAAGGAGTTAACCTTAAATTACGTGTTAGTTAAAAGTTTAAGGTACAAAATCTATTTGGAGGATTTTGGCTGCTAATTAATTCCATGTCAGGAGAATCATTGTTGTTTGTCTCTTAGCATTCATGATAGTAACAGTTTTCTTTATCACAGCAACAATGATAATAGCAGTTCAGAGTTTTTATTCATTCGACGATTGAATAATGAAAGTAATGATAATATTTTTTCTGGGCTTGTTTTATTTTTTATATATTTTATGGAATAATTATTTTGTTCGTGGCCAAATAAGATTTTCAAACAATAACTAGACACCCATTTGATTATCATCAACATTTATCCTCCTTAAGTTAAATTTGGAATGATAGATGCTGGACCATTATTATAATCGGTGATCGATAATTGAGGAAACCAGTGTCTACTGAGATGTTTAAGCAACAAAATATAAGGTTGCGTGATTTTTCATTCCTTAATACTGATTGGAAACCAGGTAAATTGCTATTAACTACACCCGACAGATTGAATATTTAGATCATGCATTTATTACATTAAATTTTATAATTTTTATTCTATATAACATTACACATGTTAAGAAAAATTGTAGTAACGTAACCAAAGCAACAACATATGATAAGTTTAACGTTAATGAAAATATGGGTCGATTCTCTTTCAACCTCAATTAGTTTGTATTTATCCATTATGATCAGTAGTTAATGACTAAATTCAACACAGCTAGCTATTATTACTTCCCTTGAGATTACTCTCACAAAAATGGATTAATCAACAACGTAATAAAGAAAAAGATAAAATGATTGAAAATCAATGGCAATAATCACTCTCGAATATTGCAGTGTTAATCAAATAATGGGATTCCAAAAATGATGTTGAGTTGGTGCTGGGCAAAGTAAGGTACATATTTTAAAGTGGTGGTAGGACAAAAAACGTCTTAGCATAAAAACTATTGAATAATATCACAGATATTATTGACTTATCCCATATGAAGGAAGATTAAATTGTGGTTGTCCCAGTAAAGTGGCGCATGATATGATCACTAGGCATAGCTGTGCCTTCCAATGGAATATGGCAATCCCAAAAAGAACCCATAAGAAAAAATTGAATTATACAAGACTGGAATCGTTAAGGAATATTAATTATAATGAGGTATAAAGTAGGAAAAGGTTACAAGTGATGAAAAATTTTGTCACAACTTTAGGGCAATACGCATCATTGTTGAAAAGGACCTAAAGACTTAGAGGAGTAATTAACTTCACAAGGGTTTTCAAAAAATGGATTAGAAATTTTGAGGGGAAGGTAAGCACTGAGGATGCATTTTTTTTTTTTTTTTCAATTTGGTATGATGTTGTTGGCCACATCTATTGACACCATAAAACACACATAATCCAATTTGATTGTTTTACCTATTCATTATTTTCTCTTTTTTCCTCTGGTGTTTTGTCCCCTTTTAAGTAACTCTTCAATTTTAAATATAAAGTTGTTCTATTTATTGACCAATGTTAAGAAACTTAAAAAAATATTAATATATTTATTAAATTTATAATACACATCCAATATAATTTTTAATAAATTTTGTATTATTATTTTTTAATCAAAATCTTTAAAACACTGATTAACACATCCTTATTTATATAATATACTTATATAATTTATTAATAATAATAATATTAATTTCTTTTTATCACATGAAATATTTCATCTCATGTTCTTTTTTTTTTTTCTTATCTTTTTTCTGTATTTATTATATATAATTTAAAAAAAAAAAACTCATGGACTAATACAATTTAGCCTGTACTTACTAATCCCCTATTGGTGTTCCTTCAGAGGGGCATGTGCCAAATGTCTTTTCCCTTTGCTAAAATGGGCCCCATGCTCACATTCCTCTAGTGAAGAGCTAAACTAAGTGTGCATGTTAACTCCGATATAAAATCACTCTTCTACTTTGTCGATTCCACCGTTAACAAACCAACACAAACTCTCACTGCTATGCCCACGAGTGCATGAAAAGCAAGCTACAAAGAGAAATTGTTTCTCTCTCTAGCCGTGAATAAGAACAAGAACGAAGCTCAAAGATTAAAAGTTTATGGATTGAGTTCCCACAAAGCCTTAAACTTTGTGATTTCTTTTCCAACTTCAGCATACCCCTTTTTCTTACTTGACATCTTTTGGGTTCAGTTCACATTCTTATAGATTCACCCATGTCTTCAGATACAAGCTAGATTGATTCTTCACGAAGCAATTTGGAATCTTCCTCCATATAGTAACATTCCATAGAAACATGCAATGCTAGTGTGGTGGGAGTGGTTGAATCTCTTATGGCAATGAGTGAATGATGGTGCTTTCATAAGCTTCTGAAGTAGCAAAGTTGGAAATTTGGTGGTGTGAGTAGTGATGGGTAGGGATTGGTTGCTATTAGTCACAGTGGAACCGCCATTAAAACGACGAACAAGGTTGCAGAGGAAGCAGGCTGGAAGAGGGTCTTATAGAGGAAGCTAAGGCAAAGGATGGTGGTGTGGAAATTGGAGGCTTTTGTTGTTGATGATGTTCTTGTTGTTTTTTTCTTTGGAGGAGTGATTAAAGGGTGCCAAAGTTTTGATTTTGTGAATAAGAATTAGGATAAAAAGAAGAAGATGGGTACCAACTTACACGAACTACTTAGAAGCTTCTGTTTGGGTACTGGTTGGAAGTATGCCATTTTTTGGAAGCTCAATCATCGTCCTCGGATGTATGCTTTTATGTTCTCATTTTTACTTCTTCTTTTTTTTTAATATGCATTGCCTTGCATCTTTTTAGTATGAACAATGTTTGTCCCTCACCCCTTTATTTTCTTCTTACAAGTTTGTTTATTTCATCTTTATGCTTTGTTTCTTCAATATAGTGCTTTCTTTCTAGATTTGAGCTCGTGTGTGATACTTGTTACAATTATCCATTTTAGATTTTGAACCAAGAAGCGCAGGGCTTGAGTTTTAGTATCTAGAATCCATATAATCATGAAATGAGACATCTTTTAAAGGGGAGAGGGTTGCTCTTGGGTTTTGTTATTTTGGTTTAATGGAAAACAAGTGTATTTCTAAAGCATCTTATTTAGTGGATTGTAATATTTCTGTCTGGTTAGAGTGCTACATGGTACTATTTTTGTTGTGTGTCTGTTTGTTAATTGTTATTATTGTTCTGTCTTCTGGGTAATTGGTCATGTAACACGATACTATTTTTGTTATTATTATTTTTAGTCTCACATGTACTTAGCCATTAAGCTTCAATGGGTTTTTTTTATATTTTTTTTATTATGATATTTTCTTGCAGGACTTTGACATGGGAGGATGCTTACTATGATAGTTCTGATTTTTATGACTCTTCTGAAAATAAGTACGGCCAAAAGACATTGGAGAAGATTGGCGGTGCGAATTTCTTGCATGACCCTTTAGGGTTAGCTGTGGCAAAGATGTCATATCATGTATATTTGTTAGGGGAAGGGTATAACTTAATTAATGAATGCATATTCCATTCAAGATTAAATTTATATTTCATGTAGCTCTTAGCTCAATGTCCTCTATTTGCAGTATTGTTGGACATGTAGCCATTTCTGGAAAGCATAAGTGGATCTGTGTAGATAATCAAGTTACAAGTTTTGGCCCATTGTTTGAGGTGAGGACATGTTCTCTCAACCTTGTTACTATTGTATATTATGATGTATTTTATATGATTAATATTTCAATCTATCTCATTTCATTCCTCCTCTTTGGTTTGATTTTCAGTTTGCTGATGGGTGGCAATCTCAGGTTTCTGCTGGAATTAGGGTAAGTTAATTGCTAATATTACAAAATTCATCAACTGTCAAGGCAAAATAAAGTAAGAATTGATGGTTCTCTTCTAGAAGATGATTTGTTTACAATAAGAATATTCATTAACAGACCTTTGCTTTGCATTGTAGACCATTGCTGTTGTAGCGGTAGTCCCACTTGGAGTTGTTCAACTTGGCTCTTTAAATAAAGTAAGATGACTATAGTTTTCTCCCTTTTTTTATATTAAATTCCATGTTGTCAGTGAGTGTGGTTGCTCATGTGGTTCTAGAATGCATCCATCATCATCCCATACTACGCATTACATTCTGTTTTAAGCATTTGAAAGTTTATTTGCATTTGTTTGCTATCATAAAACAACTGTTCAAATAATATAATGTGCTTGTTATTTCTTCATCTAATTTTGGTAATTGCATGTTGATGATTGAGATATTGGTTGAATACTTGTCAATCCTAATTCTTATTTATACAAAAAGGGTAAGTGAATATATTTTATTTGGAGAAGTTCTAAGAGATATCCATGAGAACTTAATAGTCCATGTCGGGCATAGAATATAAGGGATTTTGTTAGTTATGATTTTTCAGGTACAATTTCACATATGATGCCACTAATGTTACTGTGATGAAACAATATTTGCTCAAGTGTTCACTTACAAGCATGTTGGAGACATTTTTGGTAAATGTTGACCTAAATTATAAAGTTTAGGTACTTTTGGCATCTCTTTGTTTTGTTTTTTTTTCCTTTTGATATATCGGTACCAAAATTGGCAGAAAAGTTGTTTATATAATCTGGAGAATGCTTTTAGTTTTTATTACAGATTTGTGCCTAATTGCTACCTTTTCTCCCCCAAATTACTTTTATGCTCTATATCTAGCATGTTAACATGCAAATGTTTTTAGTAACTTTGTAGGTTTTGTGCTTAATTTTCTGTTTAAATTTAGTTGGATTATTGGATATCAGTGATAGGTTAGAATATTCTTGGATATATTTTGAATCTTTTTATGTGGAAATCCATTTATCGTTAAGATATTTAATTATTTCCTCCTTTTATGTCATCCATGATTGCAGGTTATTGAAGATATGGGGCTTGTAACCCATATTAAAAGTCTCTTTTCTACTCAAGATTACACAACAGGCTATGTTCCTAACCAAGTACAATGTAGTGTGAAGAGTTCTCCATCTGTGGTAACCTTCTTCTCTCCACTTCTTTCTACATGCATCTTCATTTTACATAAATGTGCTTGTGTGAGTGGTGGAGTACAGGATGGATGACCACTGGCATGTACATCTTTTCATGCAATAACAGAGCAAATGGTGCTATGATACGCATAATTATTTTTAATCCAGATGCATTGAGCATAATCATAAGGTTTACATTTCATTTTTCTCTTTCAGCTGGATGTATCCATAAAAACTTTGTCATTAGAAAGTATGCCTGCCAACTTACATGATACAGAGAAAACCATGAAATGTGAAACACTGGATGTTTCAATGCCCGTTCAATACTGCGGGAAGAACTATGCCCCTCATGCTGTTTACCAGGAAATGGCTGTTGATGTGGCCAAGAATGAGGGCCTTGAATTAAACAGCGATGAAAGTTCCATTTTGCCACAGTCAATGTCAAACATGACAAACAATAGTAGCTACAAAGATACAAGTTTGGAATCAGAAAAAAAGGTTTCATCATTTTTACACAATTTGGTTATGGACAATAATAATGTCGATGATTTAATATGTCCATTGGAAAAATTTGAAGTTGATTCTACATCCTTCCCTTTAGACTTTCTTGATCCAATCATTTGTGAGAGTGATAAGTTACATTATGTGGATATCAACCAAAAAGGGGTGTCAAATGTGCCAAAACCTTCATATGCAAACTCCCTAAAAAGTATTGAGAAATTAAAGTTTCAAACTGAAACTTGTAACAAGGATACCTCATATGCATTGAAGTTTCCTGCTGGCTATGAGTTACATGAAGCACTTGGACCAACTTTTCTGAAAAGGAGTAAATATTTTGATTGTGCAGCATTGGCAAATCAAGATGTTAAAACTTCTGAGTTGTCGGACGAGATTAGTTGTAGCCAATTGACTTCTGAATCTTGCCCAGAAGATCTTTTAGAAGCTATGGTGGCTAACATTTGCCATAGTAATAATAATGTTAATTGTGAGTTATCATTTTCTACATCATTGGAAGCTACAATGGCCTCAGGAAGAAATCTCATAAGTTCTATTCACACTCTGCAAAATATTAATGCAGAAGACTATGCAATAGATCAGCACCCTCATGCTAGAGAGGAGACACATCATAGTCTGAGTTCACCAGGGATATGCTGTGTGGTATCTCCAAAAGATTTTTCTTCTACATGTCGTAGTTCATGCAGTGAACAATTTGAGAGCTTTTTCAAATCAACTAAGAACTGCAAGAAGAGAGCTAGGCCTGGTGAAAGTTGTAGGCCTCGGCCAAGGGATAGACAACTGATCCAAGACCGTATTAAGGAGTTGAGGGAACTGGTACCAAATGGAGCAAAGGTATCTTGCTGTCACATATTTGTTAATCCTGTCTCAGTTTTGATTTTGCGACAGTTGTAGTTCCTACTCATGTGACTAAAATTTGTATGCTAATGTCAACAGTGCAGTATTGATTCACTACTGGAGTGCACCATAAAACACATGCTCTTTCTCCAGAACATTACTAAACATGCTGACAAGCTAAATAAATTTGCAGATACAAAGACGAAGGTGAGGTTTAATGGTATTTGAGAAGACTGCCTCTGGTTCGTGGGTTATAAAGAAGTTAACTGATTCTATTTTTGATCAATTAGGTAATGGGTATTGATATTTGATTACTACAAATACACTGGTTTCTTTCTCCAGATTAGACATAAAAAATGTGTTTTCCATAAAAAGATTTTAGATTTTGTTAAGGAACAACTAATTGGGTTTATGTACTAAAAACTTGGTTTTATAATTTAAAATTAATTTGAATATTTTAAAATATATTCATTAATGTTGAATTTTACCTTTTTTATTGATTTATGCATTGATTTTTTTAAGTTACATTTATTTTGCCACAAAAGAAAATGTATTTTACTGAGAACAATGACACTTCAGGACACTTGAAAACCTTAAGATTTTATGTATTTGTTTCATTATATTAAAGAGAGCGAGTTTTTCAGTATTGATTTTGAAAACTCTATTGATTTGCTCCATTTGAACAATTTTTGAATACATAGTTTTTATTAATATTATATTATCTCCATTGTTTAATGTTATTGCAAATGCAGTTTCATCACATGGAAAAAGACATCCATGGATCATCTAGTTATCAGCATGGTTCAAGTTGGGCAATGGAGGTAGGAGGCCATCTTAAAGTTCATTCAATATCAGTGGAGAATCTTAGTAAAAGTGGTCAGATGCTTGTTGAGGTATGTAGGAGTTGAAAATTACAAGCTTGATATATTCTTCTAGAATACCCAAGTAGGAGAAAACCCCCTCATGATAAAAAATGAAGGAGGTTGGAAACCCTTCTTAGAAGTACCCCATACATAACATCGGCCCCTAAGTGTGCTCCTTCTATGCTAATTATGATTCATGCTGCAGATGTTATGTGAGGAGTGTTGCCATTTTCTTGAGATAGCAGAAGCCATCAGGAGCTTAGAGCTGACAATTTTGAATGGTGCAACAGAAGCTCATAGTGAGAAGACGTGTATATGTTTTGTGGTTGAGGTAGGATCCGAAGTAAGATTTATTTCTTATTCAGTTAAACAAATTCCATTGTTTTTACATACTAGGATAAAAAATAACAGAATTACTGGAAACATGTTTTACAATGAATTAAAATGTTATAAAAACTATTGTGTATCATGATAATTCATGGTTTAATAATTTTTAAAAATATAAAATTAGATCATGTTTATTAAAAACCAAAAAGTTGCTCTCCTTTCTCAATTTCTTTATAACTTAAATCCCAAACACGCTCTGATAGTCATGTAAATTCGAAGGGATATTATATGTGAACATTGATGGAATAGAAGGGTGTAACAGTTTGTAACTACAATATTGTCTTTAAACTCAACTATCAAGCGATTAATACTGATCAATGAATTGTCTGTCACAGGTCCAAAACAATAAAAATTTACACAGATTGGATATCTTGTGGCCGCTTGTTCAATTACTGCAATCCAAGAGCACAACGTTTTCATAATAATTGTTTGATTCTTGGAAACTTCTAAAGCTACTTAATTGACAACTGTAACTTGTTCTTTGAAATGTTCCAATTTCAAAATGTTGAAGTTTTCTCCCCTCTTCTCCTTTGCCTCAAAACAAAGAAAATAATGAGGCAAGGAAAATTATAGGAACTTGGAAGTAAAAGAAATCACCCTTACCATTTGTTCAGGCCTATACCAGAGGTTTCATCGCATGTTTAGTTTTGATAATTTTAGAAAAATTAAATTTTCATTTTTTCAAGTTCTTTAAGGAAACTGACAAAAAATATTTCTCTGAAACAAGTCAAATCAAATATACACTGTAGTATGCAAGGCTTCAACGTTTGGTTTTTCTTGTGTTTAGGTTGGAATGTTTTGACATTGGAAATAACACAAGGCGTTGAACACATTGTATTACCACTCATTATGTTCCAAACATATTGCATAATGCACAAACCATTAGTGACTACTCTGACTCTACAATTGCAATCAACGACAAGAAGTTACCGTATATTAATTAGTAGCTAGCACGAGCAAGGCTTTGTAGAAAAGGCATGAAGCTCGATTTTTATTTAAACCTACCAACATAAGCATAAAGTTACCATACACCATATAATGCTCAATGAGGTTCTAACTATAAGTTTTGTTGACACCATATTACATACACTGTAACTAGCATTCTTTATTTAATTTTATTTTATTGTCAAACTTACCCAGCATGTTATAACCTAAATTGAGGGAGGGCTTTGTAGCCATCTAGTCCTTTGGACCTAAAATGAGCAAGATATTCCCCAATATGGGTCTCTCTATATTTGGGTGGGTTTTCATTGGATGTAAACTCCTCCATTGGCCCATATTTATGGCTCATCCTAGGATATATATGGCATGCAACTGAGGCCCGAGGCCCAACTCGTCCAACCAGCACACGATGCTCCACACTTTTAAACTTGTCATTGGTAATAAGCTACACAAAAAAAAAAAAATAGTCTTGTTATTTGAATGACAATAAGTTTACAACATAAAAGATATTTATTTTTATCTTTTGTGTATATATGCATCCTAAAAATATGCCCAAAAAACAAAGAAAATAATCCCAAAATTGTATGTATGCATCTAACAATATAGCAAAAAAGCTGTCCGCCGAAATTATTCAAAAAATATTTTTGCCGAGAAATGACAAAAAGGAATGAGATACTTTACTCACTCGACAAAGAAAATGAAGGATTCTTCTATGGTTTATTTGTCATGAAAATGTAATATGTAGTATATAAGAAGGAATATCCATGTCACTACCTGCATAAAATCACCAATGTTGACCACTAATGCTCCATGGATGGGGTTTATGTCAACCCACTGATTTTGATGGAGAACTTGGAGGCCACCAATGGTATCTTGCAAGAGAATTGTTAAGGATGATGGGTCTGAATGCTTGGTGGCGCCAAGTGTCAAGTTTGGCTCCGGACAAGATGGGTAATAGTGGCACCCCACCGTTTCACTTTTCATGCATTCTATGTTTGTAAGATAGTCCCTCTTCAGTCCCAATGCCTCTGACAATAATTGTGACAATATCTCCCTCAGTTTGTGAATATGCTCCATGTATTTGCCCACCACATCCCTGTTAGGGAAACAACTTTCATGAGTTTCATTCATATCTAACAATCTAAAGCTTTATCAACAGTCTTAACTCAACTAGTTTCTTTCTATCCAATTGTGATACACATACATGTAACGAGTGATTATAATAATGCTACTTTCAGATTTATCTCTGAAATTCACCAGTATTAGTTATTAGTTCTCAATTACCAGATACTTTATAAATGTATATAAATATAAATCTAATAAGGCAAAAATTACAGCTAATAGTCTGGAAGTAAACGTGAGTTTGTAATTATTCAGACTTGAATTTAAATACACACTAAATACATGTTAAATTTAACTTATTTAAAAAATGATTACTTCTTTTAACTTCCTCACAAAATTTCTAAAAACTGAGCAATTATTTCTTTAACGCTAAGTTGAACTAAACATGCTATAATATGGACAAGCAATTATGATCTTTATGGTTTAAAGTATGTTGCTAAATAAATTTTTCAGGACATGCTTGCTCCCTTGCTAGTGATACCTGCATACCAGGGGAAAGGTCTCAGAATTCAAAGGACCATGTTGGAAGTCAAACATTAAGGTATCCCTCCAATTTGCTGCTTTAGATACAAGGAGATCACCATTGCAAAAATACCTCACTGTAACGTTATGATCACGGGAATACCACTCTTTCTTTAACTCCTTTGGTTGCTCATGGAATTCTCTAGTGACCCTTAACATGTCATCCATAACACAAACTGGAACTCCATGATTCACCATTTGAAAGAAGCCCCACTTTTCAGATGCTTCACGAATCTCACTCACTATCTTTGACCAACGGCACCTTTCATTATGTCCTGTGAAATCTATCACAGGAACTTGGAAGAGGCTCAAAGTTGTGCTTATTGATGCTGATGTCCTTGGAAGAGCCTCTTGTGGATGGATAAGGAACCTAGGGAGCTTGAGAATACCAGAATCTATGAGTCCTTTCACTCCAGCTTTGGTTTCATCAAATTCCTTCACTTCCTTGGCTCTATCATAGCATGCATCCTCTTCTTTCTCAGAAGGTATCACTTTCATGCTAGACATAGCTAAGCTCTTTAGATTTTTAATGAGAAGGGATTTGCTTCAAATTTGAGATTTGGTAGCCACGAATTAAACGAAGAATGGTATTGGCTATGCGACACATTGAACGTAGGAAAAAATAATATATAATAAAAAAGAAGACAATGGAAAACTAGATGTCCGTATTAATAATTAAACTTCAATTGCATTATTTGTCTTACAAAATATTACGTACAATTGTGATGATCTCTTTTCGTAGGTTCATGCTGTGTATGCACATGAAAAATGTAATATTATATATATATATATATATATATATATATATATATATATATATATATATATTACGGGAAATTAAAGAAAATGACGCCAAAGTGCGAGGATCCACGGAAGACTGTCGCGTCTACGAGGAAACGTACTAACGGGTCATTTCTTTTTCGGATAGTTTAAGAATTATGTTGGACAAAAAAAATTCATAATATTATATTATTTATGTTCTTATTTATTTTTTGAAAAAAATTACATAAATTATCTCTGACACAAGATTCTTTCAGTTTAATCTATAATCTTAAATTCAAATCTGAACGAATGTAGTAGTCTAGAAAAAAAAACTACATAAATTAATAAATGTTTTAAATAAATAAAAATACACTGATAAAAATGGCAATAACCTGATATATACTTTAAAAACAAAAATCTGGTTGCCTATCTACATTGAAACTGTGCTAAAAATATATAAAAAGAAATGAAATTTATGATTGATTCGTGATTTACACTTCAATAAAACTAAAGAAATTTTTTTAAAAAAATGATATTTTTTTGCTGAGGAAAATGGTTTGGTGATGATAATGATGCAAAAAAAGACAACAGGAAAAGTGAGTTACAGATAGAGTTGAGGGCATAATAACATCCCACAAAAACATTCATGCAAAAACAAAGACCTAAAACCAACAAGCATTGCAAACCAAAAATTAAAAAAACATACAAACATTAATTTCATTCTCTAAATATATCAATGTCACTTTCTTATCCTTTAATTACACCTGCTGTTATCCACTTAGAAAATAATAATAATTACGTTTACATGGCCGGACGACGACCACACAATAAAATGCAAGAAAGGACGAAATCCAATAGTCAACAACAAGAAGCACAATATTCACAATATTTTTATTTTTATTTTTTTACTTTTTTTCCTTAAAGTAGAGCCAATCTAATTTTAGCTTTGAAAGCAGTGGTCCTTTAAAATGTTCGTCTGTTCGAACTTCGAAGTACTGAAAAAATCACAGACAACCTTACTTTATTGATGTCATGGGAATCCTTTTCTTTGGTGTCTTGTTTCTTTCCTTTTGGACATTTTTCTTTTCCTCTAATTAAACTCACACCTCAATTATACGCTATTAAATAGTTTTAGAATTATAATTCAATTTAAATAATGACTAAACATTAATTCTATAATTATTTAATGGCACACATATGAGGTGTAAATTTTTTGTCAGATTTTTATTCATAAAATATTATCTAATCTAATATTTTGTTAATTTTGAGGGACATTGCCATTTATTAGAAAGTTACTGGGCTCGTGTCTCTTTAAACACACATTAAAAAAACATTAATAAATATTTCTTGCAAATAGATTAGAAGTGATATAGCTAAATTTAAAGTCTCTTTATATATGTAGATTATTAATATGATATGATTATACTTAAAAAAATACATCTTTTATCAAATAAAGATTTGTCTTAAGTAGTTATAGATTTCATTAAATAAATATAATAAAAAAGACATTTTGTTAATAGGATTATGTCATATTACTCTCAAAATCCTATATTAGCCAAGAAAAGACTAACCTTTGTAGGGATTGAGCTTCAGTGTCTAGAAGAATCCTTGGTTCGCAGAAGCGAGAGTGAAGCATTAATTTAGATGCAACAAAAGGAAGAAAGTAATTCCTGTCCTGATCAGATGAAAAATACTACAATCTGGAAGTGAATCTCCATCAGTTGAAGCACGTAGAGTTCACTCAAAGCCCTTTATTAGAAAAATTTTACGATTAAAAAAAAAAAAACACCAAGTGTTTTATGATCCTTTATCGTGTACCCTGTCTTCTTAACAAAACATCAAACCAAACAATTATAAAATAAAATAAAAAGGATTGTTTTTTACAATGAATAAAAGCTGTGAAGATAAAAATCTTACAAAAACTAATATGACCTATTTTTATTTATAAACAAAAGATAAATCTCAGAAAAATGACCTAACACACTACTGATTATTTTTCGAGTAACAAGTTAAACATCTTTATCATCCATTAAAACATTCACATATCTTATAGACTAATGAATAGTTATAATGTCTTGGATGTCTCTATTAACTCAATTTGGATTTTCTCGTGTTGCTAGTGCATTCAGCCTTCGTAAATATATTATTCTCTCACCTACTTGTTTAATTTTTATCTCTCTTTTGATTCCCATTAAGGGGTAACCTATCCAACCATTATTTGTTTATATTTATTATTTGAATAAAGCATCGCAAAATCTATGCACTAAAAGGAGTGATCACAAATCAAGGATGGCCCGTAAATTTAAGCAATTGAACCCAATCAAAACCACAAAAAGTATAAGTAGATTCAATCAAAAGCTTATCAAATCATGTACGTGTGAATCCATTGAACCCAACTAAACTTGACCTCATTTTTCTTATTTATTCTTCCAATTTTTATTTAAAAAAATGAAAATGATACTTTGGAATTTTCACCCTGCTTTTTATTTTAAAATTTTCATTTTATTATTTTACAAATATTTCTTTTACAATTGAATAATATAAAATTTAATTGTAATTTCTGTACCATTTCAATCTATAGATAAATTTTTACTCCCTTTTTAAAAATTGTTACAGAAAAAATTATATTTAAATAACTAGAGGGTTGAAATGTGATTGAGTTTGAAAATTATTCAAAACAAAAAAAAATCATTAAAATTAAAAAATTGTAATGTGCAACTGTTTAGGGTCATAATTTCAAAAATGATAATTTTTTTAATGGAAGTGTTTTAATTGATAAGTTTTAAGCATAATATAAAGCATTTCTAAGGTAGTTCACATAAATTTTAAGAACAAAATGGGTTCAAGACAAAAAGAAAATTGATGAAAAAACATTTTATTAGTTAAAAAAATAAAAGAATTTAATTGTAGGCAAATAAGAAAACAAGAAACTAAATTCAATAAAAAAATTACTGGATTAAAATAACACATTGTCCGTAACTAAAAGACAACAAGCATAAATAAGTTAAAATATAAATATATAAAATTAAATTAAATTTATAAAAATTAAATAATTTTTTTATAAATTTAATATAACTTTCACAACTCATCTTTTAAAATCTCCTTCATTTGAAATTTTATAAATATTTTAAAAAATAAATTGATTATAGGTAACTAGAATACGGATAGAAAGAAAATAAAAACAAAAATAAAGAATAAAAAGGTGCAAAAGGGGAACACAAATCCAGGAGAACCTCAGTAAAGTTAAATAGTAACTTCACGTGCCAGACTTTGAAGATCTTACACGAAGATAGAACAGAATGAAATCGGTACTCTGAAGTTTAAGCGCAAAGGCTTCTTCTGATCCTTTGGTTTTCCCCTTTGACAGACAAGTTTAGCAATTGAAATGAAAGATAGTTCCTAACTCCGTGCTAACAGATCATATTAAAATAATAATAGCCAGTAATTTAATCCGAGTGAAGCCAAAACTACAAAACTCAAACTGTGGAAGATTGATTCTGAATCAGAGTACCCAAGCCAAATCCTGGTAGATTGAAGAACCGAGAAACAACCTGCATTCCTTGAAAGGGCCCTCCAAATCCCAATGCTGCTACTAATAGGTTTTCGTTTTTGGAGCCTTCTTGGGTTGCCTTTTGGGGATTGAGTTTTTCATCCCAATGAAAAACAACAGAGCCCCAAAAAGAGCCATATTCTGCAAGGAGTAATTATATTTGATGACCAAGTGCAAGAATGCATTGAGTAACATTGTAACAACAGCTCGAATATGGGCAAACAAACATGAAAATAAATAAACAAACAATATATATAACTCAATCCTCTGACCTGGGTAAATTTGATGAAAAGTTGAGTAAATTCTTTGTCCTCACTCTCATAATTGTAAAAATCATAATGGATTGGAGTGGCAATCATCTGATGCAGGAGCTGCAGGAAAAAAAATGTAGAAGGGCCCATAACTTAAAGTGAGCACATGAGAAGAATATGGCATCCAATATATTCATAGAAAAATTTGACTAAAAAGCACAAACCAGAAGGAAAGCTCCCAAAGAGCTGCCAAATATGAAAAGAATCCCTCCAACGCCCTTCAGAGTAACAGCCCCAGCAATTAAAAATTTCATCTGTTCATGACATCAACTAGATCAGAGAAATTCTAACATACAAAATAACGTGATATTCATGCAAGAGAGAGAAAAACTCAATTTATGTACATTTTGATGTGGGAACCGAGTGCTTGTTTGGTTTAGATTTTAGTATAATTTATTTCGATAAAATGATTCTTAAATATCAAATATGATTGGGATGCGTGCACAATTTAATCTCAACCACATATTTTACATTAAGAAACATGTCATAATGTGTGCAGCAAACGTTATTGAACTTGCATGCGTTTATTGAAAGGGTACATTCATATTTCAGCACACATTTAATAATTTCTATGAGATAGTATTACATATACATATTTATTAGTGTAATTGATAAAATCTTCAACTGAAGTCAATGGCATTGTATGATCCATGTAACTGACCTCACCTAGTGAGATAAGGATTGGTTGTTATTGTTGTAATAGATAAAATCTTCAAATACTATAACATGAAAACAGGTAAATACCTAGTTTCACTGGAAAAAAAACACACAAACACATACTAACCTCAATCTCTGGAATTTGAAAGCCAACTTGAGAATGCACTCGATGAGTAAAGGCATCAAACTTTGGTCTGAGTGATTTTGCGGCAGGTCCCCCATCAGCTCCAAATTCATTAAATCTATAGTAAAGAACAAAAGACACAGCAAAAAAAAAACATCCTTTCAGCAAAAATACAGGGGAAGAATCATAAAAAAGAAAAGAGAAGCAATCAAGAAGAATAATTAACAATAGAGTGTTTACACAATTAAAAATGTTAAGTTGAAATAGCTTAATTATTAGCTTCTAGTCTCTAACATCATACAAAAAGTAAACAACAGTAACAAACGCCTTCAACCTCCGAACCCACTTGAATAATTTCTAGATCTAGTATGATTTAGCGAGAATGAAACATAGTACAGTAAAAGCAGAATTTCATGTTAATTACACGGAATGGATATGGCAAGCACTAAGTATTCAATATATAGACATAAATATACCATATTCCAACTTAAAAATGATATTCCTTCACATCAGTGCACCGGTCATGCGAGAATATCTAACCACTACTACCATAATCAAGAAAATGACATTCCTTCACATCCTTGGCTTCCGTGTAATTCCAAAAGCCAAAAGCAACTCACATATTCCTTCTATAGTTAGTTCATTTCCTACTTAGCAATATCAAAAGAAAAAAAAAATCGGATTCCTTGCAATTCAACCAAATCACATCTCCTTCAATTACAATAACATGACCAATTCCACACAAAAAAAGCGTACGAAGTTAAAGCAAACAAGCTCTCGAGTGGAAGCTTTTAACTCCTAATTTAGCATTAATGTCAGACAAAGAAAAAGAGAAAATGCATCTAGCTTCATGATAACGCAGTCTTCGAAATCTTAATAAACCAAACAAGAAAAAGCAAACACAGATCTACGCAGTTGCTTTATTCAGACAAGCGGTTTCAAAACTTCAAAGTAACGGATCCAACAAGTCAACCACCAAATCTATAGGCAAAAACTTGCGGAGAATCTAGAAACTTCCTATAATTCGTTTATTAAATAAAAATCACAAAAACAGCACTGCGTGCTACAAATCAACAGGAAAAAAAAAAGCATGGAAAAAAGAGTGCACTAACTCTTGGTAAGCAGAGAGAATGAAAATGGAAGCGAAGAGGACTCTGCCGAGAAAAGAAGCGAAAGCCATTGCGTTAGCGTTGTTTCTCTCTCTTACTTCGGACTCAGAGAAGAGCAAATCTAGGGCGCTCTGGTTTTACTATTCCTTGTCCTGGACAGAGGCAGTGAGAGAGAAAGAAACAGAAAAGATTTGAAACTATAAGAGAGACAATAAGGGTAATATGGTCCATTCTTTCGCTCTGCATTTCTTTCGGGGGTCTATTGGGCTCCTTCGCCCCCGACATGGCCCAACGGACCGTGTTTAATGCGCCACTCGCTTTTTTTATGGCAAAATTTGGAATTTTCTGGAGAGTAAAATTAATAATACTTTTTTAACCTATGGGAAGCATTAAGCATGACATATTTAATATTTTAAATTATCATTAAAAGTATGTATTAAATATTTTTTAATTTTAAATAATCAATATTTTGTTTTCTTAACATATATTAAAAAAATTAAATTAAAGGTTTATTTTCTAAAAATAAAATACAATGCAAATTCATTTTTCTATTTGCTTTTCTTAGTTTTTGACACTATGTTATATATATATAGTGAATGTACTATATTTGATAGTATTCTATTTTTAAAATATTACAAGAAAAACTTAAGTTGAATGTTGTTGGTATTTTATGTTATTCTCTTATTAAAATAGCAGCTTTTTTTTATAATTTATGTGATAAATATCAACATTAAATATTGACATATATTATCATGGTAAAATTGTAATCTGAATTTAAAAATAACATCAATATAAAAAATATTGATAATATTGCATTTGCATTTTGTCTAATAGACAGTATGCTTTTAATCTTTGTTAGTTTTGTATTACTGAAAAAAAAAATATGCAGAGAATTTGTTCAAGTTACTTGTATGGAATAAAATTTCAAAGAGCATTATTATATCAATCCTTTTGCTGGTATGGAAGGATGATAAAAGAGTGGATTTTTCTTTTCTTTTTGTTTTTTAAGGAATGTGAAATCATGTGTGAAATTAACAAAAATTGGGTATGGAGTTGGTACGAAGAATTTCAGAATAGAGTTTGAGAGGATTGAACTGTGATGACATGTCATGGCTTTTGATTCTTTTACCTTAGTGGCTAAGGAAGGACATTCTCGGTAGCCAGGTGTCTTTCTTCCTTGACTCCACTATTGCTAAAGATATCTTGAGGTGTTATGTTTTAAGTTTTCTTTTGGATTCAAAAAGATATCAATGTTTCGTCTCATCCGACCAAGATACTCGAGTTCGATATTAGTTACTCTAAGCAGTGTTTAGAACAAGTAATTAAAAACTCTAGAATTTTAAATTCTAAAAAATTTGAAGGTTACTATTTTCAAATATTTTATTTGAATAAAGTGATTGAACTCTTTATTTCAAATAAATTTGTTTGTGTGAAGTAATTAAATTACTTGTATTTTTTATAAAAAAAAATTATCAGTATATTTTATAAAATTAATTAAAAATATAAATTTTAAGTTATTCAACTAACTATAATTAAATAAAATAATAATTTCAAATTTTTATTATTTTGTTAAATTTATAATTCTTTCACTTTAATCTATTGAAATTTTTTACTCAAAATTATAAAAATTTAAATTATTCAAAATTAAACATCTAAATAATAAAATTTAATCTTTATAATTATATATTCTTTTAAAAAAATATTTTCTTACAAATTAATATTTTTCTTATATAAAAAATTAATATTTTTCATATTTTTTTATTTGAGTGTTTAATATGTATGGTATTTATTAAATTTTAAATTAAGTTAAAATAGCTTCACATGAACCACATATTGAATGTTTGTCACCTGACTACAAGCGAAAAGTAAGATCAAGATAAGGGAGAAAAAAATTGATAAACATAATAAATAATATAATAAAAAATAAATTTAATTTAATTTAAACATATTAATAGTATAATTTTTTTATATTAACATCTTATCATAAATTATTATACAAATAAAAATAGTTTTTAATATTAACTAATATAAAAATTATATATAGTATATCTTAACTAGTTGATAATTTAAACACTAACAGAGTATTCAAATTAAATTCTTACATTTTTTTATAAGATAAAAAATAAACATAAAATTAAAATATAAAAACAATAACATTAAGTTGGCTAAAATTTTTAAATATTAATTTCATTTCTACATACAGTTTATTTATAAAATTTATTATATAATTTTATCTTTGATTTTATGTTTTATTTTATCAATAAGTTTATTAAATGAAAATTATAAACACTATCGATGAAAAAACATACATAAAAACATATTTTTTTAGATGATTGCAAAACTTTATTCACTAAATTATAATAATAGTATATTAATAATTTGTTTTTATCCATTAATTCATCATACTAAACACTCCCGATTAAAGATCATTGAAATATTTACGTTAATGTGTACACAATAAGGAAAAAAAATTATGATACCTACTGTTTATTTATGGAAAAAACGAGAAAAAAACAATAAAAGAAAAAAAAAATGTAAAAATTAAACATTTTTCATACGTAGTTAAAAAAAAAAAAAAGGTGAGACTCACACTTTCTTTTACGTAAAGAGAAAAATGGAGGGACATAACTTTTTTTAGTATGAGATATATATTTTTTACTTGCTCATTTATTTACCATTATATTAAAGAATCATATATATATATATATATATATATATATATATATATATATATATTCTGACAGGTTTTTCTTCTAATCAAATAAGAGAAAAAACACTTTAATTTTTTTTCATAAATTTTATGTTTAAACATTTCAATTTATAATATAAAATATCGTGTTATAATATTGTATTAAATACATAATTAATTAATTAATTAATCTAAATACATTATAAAAAATATTTTTTCTCTTTTCTTTTCTTCCATCGTTTTCTCTTCCTATATAAACTAGGTGTAAAGTACGAGATGGTAATGTTATTTCATTCAAAATATTTATTCATTTAAAAATATAATATTTCATCACTTGCACCAATTTATAACGACTGTAAAAAAATTACTCAATAAAAATTTATCTAATTTATAAAAAAAAACATTCAATAGGCGAATTTAAATAATTACAAAAATTCAATAAAATGCATGGAATTAGAAAGCATGACCCTACCCTTATTTGATAGACTCATCGCAAAACCTTCGGTAAGATTTGTAGAGTGTTCCTGAAGCGGTGCCTATCTCCTTCTTCCGAGTTCCAGCTGTGAGAGCTGAGACACATCGTTTTTCACTCGGCTTCTTCTTCCAAATGAATACCCGATACGTGAAGCAATTGCTCCGTAATATATGTATGTTCTTTTCTTTTTTCTGCTTTCCCATCGTAATTGCTGCATTTGATACACTGCAAGGGCATCCTCAAAATTCAATGTTTGTAATCTGTGCACGATTTGTTTGCATAATGATATGTGTCATTGTTACTACTGATTTTATTTCAAAGATGATTCCACGAAGAATTCTGAACCATTTGTCAAAATTCAAATCGTGAATCCATTTGGTTGAAAGGAGTCTGATTTATTAGTTATGATGCTCCAAAATGGTAGAGTACCCTTATTGATGAGACTACTAAGTGGCTCCCAGTTCTTACCAACTATAGGTGGTTTATTAAACATGATAAGAGAACATAATATAATATCTTTTTCTATCCTATTTTATTTTTTATGTTTGTTGAACTAATAGGATACGGTAACACTATTTTATAGCCTTATTGTGAAATGACCTAAGTTAGAAATAGATAGGATATGATTATACAATGTATCTAATTTATAATTTGTAATATGATATGTTTGGAACAGTGTTCATTTTCCAAGAATACAAATGTGGTTGTGTCAGGAAAAAAAAAACAGGTTGGTTCTTTTCAACCAAATGCGATTATATTCTTAAAATCATATTTTACTACAAACTTACTTTTGGTATAAAGTTTGTTTCATAAATTACTTCATTTCAAATTCAATATTAACCAAAATCTATTTTAAAAATTATGATCATTGGATATCAAGTTTGAAAATGCCCATCCAAATAATACACACTAAGCTGCTAAGACAAAAAGACAAGACAATATTTCACTGATTTTAAATTGTGAATTAGGAATTATTATGAAGTATGTAATATTTTTTTACATTTTAATTTAATATAATTTATGTACCTGTGTCTTAATTTTTAAAGAAAATGCTATATTGACATATATATTGGATTTGCAACAGTTTGCAAACGATCATTTCATATGGTTAGTGGGCACCGTTGAGTACTTTTTTATTTGAAAAAATTTGTACAAGGAGGGATCACCACTGATTTGAAAATTGGGGAAGCCCTGCAGGGAGGGAGAAGGGGGAAAATGATTGGAAAAGAAGCATGGTGCATTGCGAGGTTTGAACCCACACACTATTGTTACATGTGCCTATCAGCTCGGCTGTCTGAAGAGGACAATAAAGATTTGTTTACTTGTACAGTACATATCATTTATGCAAAAGAATTGTTGGATGATGCCTGTTGGCCTGTCTTCAACATGAGATTTTGTGTTATCTATGTGTTATGGGGCAATGCAGTATATGTTCATGTAGAACTGATATCACCAAATGTCTATAGCCTAGTATTTAACTTTCATAGTTTGTGTTAATACAATTTTCTTGCTAATAAATACTATCTGAATATTCATATCTTTTATTTTTAATTGAATGTGCAGATTCTACCAAATTTTTTCTCAATAGAGAAGAACCATATCGGAATTATATGCATAGTGTTTTTAACCGGTTTCAATTGCAAAGGTCAAAAACAGAGAAGGTAGAAGAAGATAAGCTAAAAGAAGATCAAGAAAGACAACAGATTTCTTTCAAATCTGAAGTAAAGAAGAAGGAAGATTACAATTATGGGATTAGCAAATACAGTTCTGATGATGAAGATCCCTCGGATAGTAAGTGGAAGTTAGAGCTGGCTTGGCTCACAAAGGCACTTGAACCAGCTCTGCAATTCTGTAGGTGGGCTCTGCCATCAGGTCTGTTAAGTATTAAGCCATAACATATTTCATCTGATGAAGTTAGACAGTGGGTATGACTATAAATTGCATGTACTTCCACATAAAATAATCTGTTATAAACAAGTTATGAGTCGTACATGACTCAGTTACATGATAGAAGGGTGACCTAGTGCCCATGGCTTCTGCTTGGTGGGGTCTAGAAGGGGTAGGGGTACACACTACACAGCCTTCCCTTCACAAGTGGTGAGGTTATTTCTAAGATTTGAACTTGTGGCCCCTAGGTCACAAGACAACAACCTTACTTTGGTACCAAGGCTTGCCCTCATGACTCAATTACATTCTGTTGTATAAAGTTTATTTATATCATCAGCATATGTTTTTCTTGTGCTCCATAAAAACCTGATTATAATCTTCCACCGTACTTTGTAATAATATGAGGCTGACTCTGTTTTTCATGTTTTGCAGGAGATGGAATTGGAAAGAAACCCCCACCAAGCAATCGATCCCTTATGGAAATAATTGCCTGCATCCAACGGAGCAAGATTGGAATCCAGGATTGGAGCTTGAGTGACCTTACAATTGGCTTGTATCTGATCTATCTTCGTCAAGCTTCTACACATCCATTTGAAGATATCAAAGCCATTCAGATATCATCAGAATCAATAGTAACTTCTGAAACTGCATTTTAGAGGCCGGGGCATATATTATATGTTCATGTGATATTGTTGTCTTATACTGTTAATGTTATAGCTACAAATTATTGTGGTCCACTACATGCTTGATTCTTATCACGATATCTTACTGGATTTTCAGGTTCAAGATCTCATTTATCATATTGAGTTGGCTAAAGGGGCTTATAAGGATAGCCCTGTAAGTCTTTCTAAGAACAGCATGCTACGAGAAAGTAATGTCATAAAATTTGTTAAAAACTCCAGTGTTATGAGGCCTGCATATTACATAGGGGTTGATACCCGTAAAAGGCTTGTGATTTTGGGCATTCGTGGCACACATACTTTATATGACCTTATCACTGATATTGTTTCCTCAAGTGATGGTGAAGTCACCTTTGAAGGCTATTCAACCCACTTTGGCACTGCTGAATCTGCACGGTGGTTTCTCCATCATGAGATTGAAATCATAAGAAAATGCTTGGAGAAACATGAGGTGGGGATTTTTCTATTTTGGTTTTCATGTTTTAGTTTATCTGTTTTTCTTATTTATGGTGTGAAGTGTGGCTAACTCGTTAACAGGGATTTAGGTTAAGAATTGTGGGTCATTCTCTGGGAGGTGCTATAGCTTCTTTATTAGCAATAATGATCCATAGAAAATCATCAAAGGAACTGGGTTTTAGCCCTGAGATTGTAACTGCTGTTGGATATGGAACTCCACCATGTGTCTCCAAAGAACTTGCTGAAAGCTGCTCTGGCTATGTAACGACAGTTGTGATGCAGGTGTGATTGCATTTGGCATTGTCTGTTTAACAATATTTGATATGGAAGAAAATTAATTATATCTATGGGTTCCTGAGACGAGAAATATTCTTTTCCCAAGTTCTGTCTGTATTTATCCTTCGTGTTTACTTATCACTTTTTTTTTTGGGATATGTACAGGATGATGTTATACCTAGGTTGAGTGTAGCTTCTCTAACAAGGCTCAGAAATGAAATTCTTCAAACTGATTGGTGAGTGTCATATACTTTATAATCTTTAAGTAGGCACACCCCCTCTTCTTTTCCATTAATAGGACATGCAGGAAAGCACTTAGAAGTTAGGAACCAATTGCATCTCTGCTATAAAAAAAAGTATTTATATACTATTGTAATTATCTTGTGCATGTAAACTTTTGTTTGGTATACAAAATGGGGAACTCATTGTTTGGGAAGTTGGTATTAGCTAAGCCAGATATGGGGGTGAAAATGTGTCGATGGTGACTGAGTATTCTAACAGAGAATTTCTACAAACACTTTAATGCTTAAATATCTAAAATCTAGTAGGTATAAATGACTCCAAAAGCTTAATAACTATTTGATTATTAACTGTCAAAACTCAAAAAGTTTTGATTAACTGATATGATACTTTCTTCAGGATGAGTGTAATTGAGAAAGAAGAATGGAAAAGTGTCACGGATTTGGTTTCAAATGCAAAGCAGGTTGTGTCCTCTGTGCAAGATGTAGCTAGCAAACTTGCTGATTATGCAAATTTCAGGAGAAACAAAAGTTTAACTGGTAAGCAATTTTTGTGCTGGTTCAAAGCTTAATTTTCTCTGAAAAAGTGAAGTTAGATTTTTGTTATGAAGTGCCATCATTTCAAACATCTAATATCCTACTGGTCAATGGCCTATAAATTTTTTTTGTTCTTTGTGGTATAATCATGGTTTTTCTTGTAATAGGTGAATGCATCATAGAATTTGTGCTATTGGTGGCTTCTTCCATCTTTAACAAAACCTCTACTCTGAAAATAAATAAATAATAATAAAATGTTGAGTGAACTTGGTCATCCTCTCTTGATTCTTCATCATGCATGTATTCCTTCTTTACTGTCTCTTCCTTGGGAAGTACTTTTCCTGCACCTTTTAGGCCATGTACAGTGGCAGAACTGCATTTCAACCCTCCTCCCATTGGTAAGGAGTTGCCAATAGTTTTGTCAGAGAAGCGATCAAACTTCATTCTTGTGCTCAAGATAAAATTTATGGTGCATGCAGTAATGTTTAGAAGTCAGCTTTTGGCTTCTTTGAACATTAAAAAAAAATAACAGTTATTTGAGATATTGCATTACATTTAAACATAAAAAATGAAGAAATTTCAATTAAATTTGTGCTTGGCATTTAATGCTTATTTGTGCTCTTTAATTGCCTTTATCGTGTTAGATTTCTATCATCAGATGTTTTGGGGTGTGTAAACAGTTGGTACCATTGACAAGGAGTTGCCGGTTGCTACAGAAGGTCCTCTGCCCCCCAAAGTAGCAAAGGAGAATTCAGTTGTTGTGAAAGTCGAGGGAACTAAACCTGCAGTACCTGAGGAATTATTTATACCTGGGACTGTTTACTATCTTAAGAGGAACATGGGATCCCAAAACGACGTTGGAAAGGATTTTTTCACCCTTTTGAAGAGGGAGCCTGGTGAGCATTTCCAGAGGATAATCCTATCGGGCAATTTGATCACAGACCACAGATGTGATAGCCATTATTATGCTTTGAGAGATGTTCTTAAAGGATTGCCATGGTGCGGCAAGGAAGGTATATTTAGATAACAAATGTTAATTATTTCTTTTTAAATTTTTTCACAATGCTATTTGATTATAATAAAACTGTACATGTATAACTAGTTTTCTGTGCTTAGGGGGGTGCCTTAGGCTTACAGTTAGCAATAGCATAGTAGATTATACGTTAGGCAATTTATGTGAAACACAATAATTATGGATGGGTTGTTCTATCCTCAAATAAACACTGAATTAGTTACAAAGCAAAATATTCAATTGTTGTTGTGTCAGTTTCCTCGAGGAGCAACGTGTTGTAGTCATGTTTTGAATTTGTATATGCTTGTTTTAGATCCCAACTAGTGATTGTTGTAACTTACTATTTTTAAGAGGTGTCAGTCTTTGAATTTCTTCATCCCTGTCTTATTATCTAGTTTCTTATATTAAGTATTTCATTTTCTTTTCAGTCTCTAAACTATTTATGCCCTGTTAAAAATCAGAGTCAAAATTTCAACCCATACATTAGAATAAATTTCAACCCTCGACCAAGATTTCTGGGAAATAATTATTGTGTGCGCGATCATTACCCATTTTCAGTGAGATACATCAGCAGGTGGGAATTGGATACTTTCATACTCCAATGTGACTTGCTTAATGCATGTCTGGTTCCATGTCATCGTGTCATTCTTTTAACACTGCTCATTGTTGTGCTGAAACAAACTCACGTTTAAGGTAGAAAAATGTATAACTAAACATGCAGTTAACTTCGATGATCTATTGATCATGATTTCTTTTCACCTTGTTCTAGTCATAGAGTAAATTAAATGCATAAATTTACATTTTTAATTTATTGAACGTCCTTTGGGAAGTCCAATGGAAAACTACACTCACCCCACCTTTTAAAATTTTAAATAGTTAATGTCTTTAGTTATTTGTCGTGCAGTACCTGACCACTTATGTTGCACTTTACTTTTTGCTAATGACAAATTGCCAATATGCACTAGAATCACTTTTTTTTTTTTTGTTAAGTTTTTTCTTACAAACATGATCCCTCGGCCAAATAATGGAAGCATAATAATGCAAAGGAAAAGCACGTTCTCTGATAGGCGTGTAATCTTTTGTTATTGCCATAATAAGAAATTCCCTCTTTATTACAAACCAATTTTTGGGAGAGCATGGGGACCAACCTATAAGCTTCATATGTGGCGTTTTTTTCTTAACCTCAGAAAGATGTCTACATAAATTCTGGCTATACTTGTAGTCCCGGCAAGGCAGGCCCTTAAGTTGGATATCATGTCATAGCATCTAAGGTTAAATACATATTTTTTTATATTGTTTTGTATTTTGTTTTTGTTTTGTTTTTAATGGCCATCAAAAGCTTGTTCTCTTGTGCCATAAAAGACACGTTTTCATTCCATTGCATAACTTAAGATTTTCTTTTGCTTTTCACTATGATACTTTTTAGCAAATCTATACTAGACCTAACCTAGTTAATTCATGTGAGCTCTCAACTGCTATAACTTGGTGTCACTCCTCGATTGGTTTTTGATTACTTAATTCTTAAAAACTTTTCACCTATTCGATCGAATTAATAAGGTGGTATTAATCTTGGCTAAGAAGACCTACATATATCATTATTTCTTTTATTTGATTGAATGAACATATATGATAGATTGCCTGGGCTTGGGGGGGTTAATCCGTGTGAATTAGAGCCCTTAATCAAAAAGCAAAGCAATACTTTATTGAATCTTTAGACTGGCCCTAATTATAGGGCCGGTCTATACATACTTAATTTTGTCTATTCCTCTAAGACAAAATCTCAATTTTTGTCAATTAATTAATTATATGAAAAATTGACACAAAAAAGTGGGCAGTAATTATATCTACTCACGACTGGTGACTCTCAAGGGGGAACCAACAATTTATGGAGATGTTAAATTTTAACCAGAAAGGTTTAATTGTTAGTTAATTTACCAAAAGAATACGATACATGACATAATTGTAAGTTTATCCTTCACGTTCTAAAGAAAATATTTCTTTCCAGTAACTCTACATTGAGAAATTACGTCGTTTAGTTTCAAAAAAATATTTTTTTTATTTTAAAATTTTTAAAGAAAGCTAAAAAGTAAAAAATAAAATAAAAAATAAGATAAAGATGTTAATTTTATAATTAAAAGTGAAAATATAAATCTAGTACGCTTTGTGAAACTAAACAGTTCCTAATATTGCATCTCTTTTCTTTCACTTTTTCCACGTTTGTGCTGGTTTGTATGCAAACCAAACAAAGTGTACATTACTACATTATCTTATGCACTTATATTTTGCCAAACCGATCATGATTAACTCACAAACATGATGATTCAGTCATAAGCAAGGTTCAAAATTATTACAACAAATAGTTTAGGTAAATAATCAAGACATGCAAATTTATGATATATACGCACAATAATGATGTTAAATATAATGTCTCATCTTGGTTTTGCTTTACGTCTAGTAGCTGGGGAAAGACTTCCCTCTGAAATTTTCAGAATTCTATCAAATCACAATTTCGAGATGATTAAAATTTAGGTGTATCTTCTTTTCTTAAGCTAAAACCAAATATTTGCCAAATAACACAGTCATGATAATACGATGTATGCTATTTAATTTGATTTTAAGTTTAAATATTGAGTTAGTATTTAAAGAAGTTTATTTCTTTTAATATCAAGAGTAAAGATAAAAAAAAGTCAGACAATTCTTCAATTGGAACTTATGATCTACCCTTTTAAATCTTTGCCAGATTTAGCCTATTTTAGTAATAACGTTTTTAAAATACTTAATTAATTAAATATATCATATTTAAACTTTAAAAAAATCTATTAAATATAATAAAATAATTTATTTAAGATTCATAAAATTTAAAATAACATATTAAATAATTTTATATAAAAATTATAATATCTATTATATTAAATTAATTATTTTTTAAATATATAAAATTTTAAATTAAAAATTTTATCCTTTTTCATTGGAATTAAAATGCATAATATTAATATGCATTTATATTTATAATATATTTAATAATTTATTTATTTATTAAATATGTGGTTTGAAAATAATAAATAAAAATATATAATTTTATTATAAATATTCAAAATTCTAATTTTTTTAATATTTTATTTATATATAAGTATTATAAATTTTATAAAAATATTTATTTAGATTTTAATAATCTATTTATAAAAAAATTTAATGACCTGTTTTCAATACAAAATAAATTATTAAAAAGATTAATAAATTAAATTAAACTTTTAAAAAAAAGTCAAATCCAAAGCTTCAAAATAAATTATAAAATGGACGAAACTTACTTATATAAAAAATATAGCTTAATTCCATACCTAACCAAGAATTACCGATAAAAATTGTTTAAATTAAGCTTTTCTCACCGAAAAGGTTCGCGCTTAGCTATGCACTTAATTTCGTTCATAGCATCTCAGGCTTCTTTTCAACATGGTTGCTGTAGTATGTGGGGCGTGTCTTCAGAAACAGACCACTTTTGAATGATGTGAAAGTTAGCTATAAAAGCATATTTAATGTAAAAAAAAAAAAAACTATTCAGAAGACTTATCAAAATAATTTATAAATTTTCTAATTTTTACTTTTATTTTAATATAAATTTTTAAAGATAAGTTATTTTCATTTTATTCTGATAAATATTATAGTTGAATTTATAACATAAGTTATTATATAAATTTTTTAATAAATTAACATTGAATTAAACACACTCAAAATCATCGTGAATAATAATCTGTATATGGTCATATCAGGAAAAACTGTTTCCTCATCCTTAAAATGAGCAATACAAATTTATTTCTTATAATTTTGAGACTAAAATATTTTTATATTGAAATAATGTACTCTCATGTCACGTTAGTGCACGAGTAGGCTCCTTGTCATCTAACTCGAGGATCAAAAGCTCCATAAAGGCACGCAGTAGTTAGGTCAGGTGGAATGCGAAAACCAATTGATCCCAAGAAAAAATTAGAAGTAGGGACATAAATTGATGTGACATTTGGCCTCTATAGAGAGAACACTTAAGCTCTTCCCCTTTTAAATTGCCACCTCGTTACTAAATCAAGGAACTAATGTCTTCTAGCTTTAAGAAGATGAAGTTTAAAGTCTATGTTAGTAGTGTGTGTGTATATATATATATATATATATATATATATATATATATATATATTTGCGTATGTGTTGGCAGGCGCGGCAGTAATAACTTTATTTGTAAGTGGGTCGGCACCAAAATTTTAGGTAACTTGTTTGAAACAAAACCTGAACGAGGGAAAGGAATGGTTTTATTCTTAGACTTCATATCGTGTAAATGCAATGACAAAATTTGTAGGACCAACCTCTTTGATCAATTAACATTACATATGTATATATATGCAAACAAAAAATATAAAGTGTTTTGTTTCAGTCAAATGACACACTCTAACGTTGAACTGTGTTTATAAATATATGTATGTACTATGTCTTTGAGCTTTTTCCAGGTTGTCTCCACCTGTGATCACAAGGCTTTGGTCATACAAATTAAAGTTCTCTTCACTGCTTCCATCACAAGCAAGGAAAAAAAAATTATTAGCAACAATCATGACAAACTCCCATCTCTCTCACGAGATTTCTCTATTACTGTTAACCCTTTTGAAATGACAACCTAGCTAACCCGTGTTGCTCTTGTAATTTATATGAATTAATATAGATTTAAACCGGTCCATATTTCATGGCTTAGCTTTGAACAATTGCCCCCTGTTCAAACTACATTTGATTTTATTTTAAATTGGAAAGTCTCTTGTGAATAAACTAGAGAACGTAAAGTACCGGAAACTAACTATATTGTATTTTCAATATCCTCTTGAAAACGAAGCTTTCTTCAGATGTTTCTCAATCATTAAGCAATGCCATGTTCTTTTGTAGTTGGCATTATTTAGATCTCAAAGCCCCTTTGGTCGAACGTCTAGAGGTAGTCGCTTTTGAGTTGCATCATCATGGATTATTTTGAGATACGATTATACAATAACCCATTAAAAGTCGCATTAACCATGTTGCACAGTGTTAGTCGTATAAAATAATGCTAGTTTAGTGACTCATTTAGGCGAGTTGCTTTAACACATATATAATTACTTCAATTTATTAAGGAAATAGATACTTCTTAAGTTAAATAAAAATATACACACAAGAGATGGATTCCA